CCCAAAATCTCTCCAAGCCCCCTAAAAATCTCTTTGAGCCCCCCATAAATCTCTCCGAACCCCTCTGAAAGTACTTACCGGCTCCTTGAACATGTATTTTCTTCATCCAAGGGTAAACTACTGGCATATGTCCCCCTCCACCAGGAGATCCCTCGTCATCAGAGCAATCAGAACTCAGACCACCGTCATTCCCTAGATTAGTATCATTATTATCATTGTTATCATTTATTTTTTATTATTATTATTTTTATTATTATTATTATTATTACTCTTATTATTATTTTTATTACCAACTTTATTTGATATTTCTTAAAAATCACATGAATGGATATTGACCTATAATGATATTATTACAGGTTTGTTGATGGTGGTATGACGAGTACTGCCAGATCACATTTTGGACCAATTGTTTACGATAGTTCAAAACTAACAGAGATTTCATTCTACCTTGCATCAAACTTCATTTTTGGAAAAGAATTTCCAGACTTCATGTTTAATGGAACAGAGGTTTAGTATTTATTTACAAGGAAGTAAGGAACTGTCTTGTCACAATTCAAACTCTGATTTTTTTATCCCTGTATCTTTGCCACCTGATGTTGTGAACAATTGATATTTCAAACTTTGATTATTTGATCTAACAGAGTTCTAAGGTCTACCTGCACAATGGATTGCAAAGATATAGGGATTAGAAAATCAGAGTTTGTGGCAAAAACTCAATTTCTTTCTTTCTGTTTGCCTATCTGTTTGTTTGAATTTCCGATCAAAACTCTGAAACCCCTGGACCGATTTGCCTCAAATTTTGATCGGCAGAACCACGGAAATGTTCTCAGCTTGGTTTCAAAATTTTAAGTTGAGTGGGTTGACTTTTCCAGGCAATGTTGGGTTACAAAGCTAATTGTTTTTATGTACAAGGTATATATGCATGTGATATTATTATGAGAATTGTCCTTGGAGAGAAAAACTTAAAAAAGAAGCATAACCCTTGCCTCAACCAAATAGATTATTAAGTACAACAGGTGGCAACAGAGAAATGAACCAATCATACACAACGTCACAAGTGCCAAATATAGCAAGGAAAACGAAATTTTCTCACATTAGTCATTATGTTACTGTAAGAAAAGCACTTTATTCTAAAATTATCCCTATTATCGATAATTTTGTCGGACACACAAACTGAATTGACACTTGTGACGACAGAATACAACTGTACTGAAAGTGTACAAATTCTACGTTGCCATTTATTGTATTAGAATCTATTTGGCCTCAACCTATATCTTTGCAACCTGATGTCGTAGAACTCGAAAATTAGATATTGCACACTCCCTGCCGCTTCAGTAATTGTAAATTGACGATACAGTCCAAAATTGGACTGCAAAGGTTGGCCCACCTCAAATGTAAAGCGGTGGGGCATGATTTAGACAAATTCGTTTCTAAAATAAAATAGAAATAAAAACAAGTACAAGTGTATATTTTACAAAATGCAACTTTGCGATTTCATGCTTTTTTAAACCATGAAATATTTGTAACCGAAACTATTCTATCATTAGGAGCCCTCGCACATTTTTAATTCAAAGAAAATAATCAATAACTTGTCAAGAATATGTATTCTTCTGACAGAACTTTAAATGTCTATTAGTTTAATATTTAGGTAATTTCCTACTTTAATCTTGGAAAAGAATCACAAGTTCATCTTCCAATTATACTGGGAAGATTAGATAATGGCGAGGTAAGAAATTTTGAAAAATCCTGGTAATTATTTAGAAAAATTGGAAAATTTTGAGCATTTGAAAGAATATTAAAAATAATTGAATAATAACTGAAACTGGTAATGCAAAATATTCTAGCCCTCGAACAATAACCTGAGGTCGAAATTATTGAATATTAGTTGAACTAGGTGTGCCTAATTTAACCATCCGGGCGTGACGGTGCCTGGTTAAACTAGTTTTCGCTTTTTATTAGTTCTAATCTCAGATATATGAAAGATAACTGATTTAGCAATGGTTCCTGGTGTACCTAGAGACAGATCAACCAGGTTCTCAGGAGATCAAACTTGGATCCGGATCCCAACCCATTCTTACGTGGAGATTTATGGGAGGAAACATAAAGGTTACATAACTTTAAAAATAATACTTTAAATGATATTTACTTTAGATTTCTGTAGCCCTGGGGTTTCAAAAAGAAAATATCTCGATCACCGCATCTTAAAGTTTAATGTTACCGTTGTGAATCATTTATCGCACTTTTAAAATTTCCTGAATAAAAATATGCCAAAACGAAAAAAAGAATATTTTTAGGTTCATTTTATGGTTGCTAACCATCCTGCTGATTTATCAAAGAAGTTTAATTCTTACATCTATGGCCCTACATCAAATACACCTGCATTTAATGTTTTGAAGTATGGATACCATATGTGCAGAAAGGTTGGTGATGTAAAAGCCTTCCATAACGATATTGACGAAATGAAAGATAGCAACATGCCCTATGATTCTGACTGCATAGATGAACTGCTTATGCCAACAGCATTTAATAACGACACTGCGTATGACATTTCCAACGTTACTGCGAAGATTGTTCTACCTATTCCAGTTCAGATTGATGAAGAAGAAGAATCCAGTCCTGAATGTTTACGGAAGGACAGTAATGTAACCGCTCCCTGTTACAGAGGAGATTTTAATGCCTTTAATGTTACATATCCAGATGTGTTCCACACAGATTATGAAATTTGGTTGAGAGATAAATTCGATAAGTCTGGAATTGACAAATCTGCAATATATTTCCATGATTTAGCTCCAACGGATGAATCTGAAAACAACTGCAACAATGATCTGTATATTCCCAAAGGCCTGAACACCAAGGATGTTCCCTGTTTAAACTCCTGGATACCCTCTGAAAACACTACACTGTTGAATGTAAGCTATGCGAAGCAGTTTCTGAAAGTTTCCAATAGAATACTTGGAAATGAAAGTTATATTCGAAGTGATGTTGCTACAGTAGGGATGCCGAATAGTATCACATTTACCGGAAGTAAAGTTCCGGCATCCTGGCAAGGCATGAAGAGGTAACAAAGGAACTAAATTTAACGTGTAATATATTTACAAGAAACTATTTTTTATATCTACGTACCTTGCATCTCAATTCAAAAAAATTAAATATCTAATTTTAAAAGTGGAACTGAATTTCTATGAAATGTTTTGTCTCTGAATTGTCCTATATCTGAAATGTACTATATCTGAAATGTCATATTTCTGAAATGTCCAATATCTGAAATGTCCTATATCTGTAATGTCCTATATCTGAAATGTCCTATATCTGAAATGTACTATATCTGAAATGTACTATATCTGAAATGTCCTATATCTGTAATGTCCTATATCTGAAATCTATTATATCTGAAATTTCCTATATCTGTAATGTCCTATATCTGAAATGTACTATATCTGAAATGTCCTATATCTGAAATGTTCTTTATCTGAAATGTCCTATATCTGAAATGTTCTATATCTGAAATGTCCTATATCTGTAATGTCCTATATCTGAAATCTATTATATCTGAAATTTCCTATATCTGAAATGTCCTATATCTGAAATGTACTATATCTGAAATGTCCTATATCTGTAATGTCCTATATCTGAAATGTCCTATATCTGAAATATACTATATTTGAAATGTCCTATATCTGAAATGTCCTATATCTGAAATGTCCTATATCTGAAATGTTCTACATCTGAAATGTCCTTTATCTGAAATGTACAATATCTGAAATGTCCTATATCTGAAATGTACTATATATGTAATGTCCTATCTATGAAATGTCCTATCTATGAAATGTCCTATCTCTGAATTGTCATATCTATGAAATGTTCTATCTCTAAATTGTCCTATTTATGAAATGTCCTATCTCTGAAATGTCATATCTCTGAATTGTCCTATCTATGAAATGTCCTATCTCTGAAATGTCCTATCTCCTGAAATGTCCTATCTCTGAAATGTCCTATCTCTGAATTGTCCTATCTCTAAAATGTACTATATATGTAATGTCCTATCTCTGAAATGTCCTATCTCTGAAATGTCCTATCTCCGAAATGTTTTTTCTCTGAAATGTCCTATCTATGAATTGTCATATGTCTGAAATGTCCTATCTCTGAATTGTCATATCTCTGAAATGTCCTATCTCTGAAATGTCCTATCTCTGAAATGTCCTATCTCTGAATTGTCATATGTCTGAAATGTCCTATCTCTGAAATGTACTATATATGAAATGTCATATCTCTAAATTGTCATATCTCTGAAATGTCCTATCTTTGAAATGTACTATATCTGAATTGTCCTATCTATGAATTGTCATATCTCTGAAATGTCCTATCTCTGAAATGTCTAATCTCTGAAATGTCCTATCTCTGAAATGTACTATATATGAAATGTCCTATCTAATTAATAACCCACAGCTTTGTTCATTGCCCAATAATACTTTCAGTTCTCTTCGGGAAGTTCTGCTATTGAGTAGTATTGGTTTACCCTTTGTATCAATGCCAGCTTGTGGAACATACAGTGAATCTAACACACTAAACAGGTTTGTTTTCACAGCTGTAATCTATAATTTATATTGGAAATTATTCATCCTCTCTCCAGAATATCGCCAATTCTTTTTGATCTAATATGAATAATTTCTGTTTGCAATTTTTTTCAAACGTTTTTTATAAAAGATTAATACAAAATTGTAAAAATCATGTTAACAGAATTTATAACTATTTCCAAACCACTCCGCTCCGCACCAGCTAATAAGAACGCCCAAGAATCCTCCCCCTTTGGAAGACACTTGATATTACCAAATATTCATAAATATTGTAAATATTTCACTATGATCTTTTTTGTATATTTTTCATGAATTTTATTAAGAATCTATCAGATTAATTATATAATCTAGAGATTTGATGTGTTTGCGTTGGTTCCAGCTGGCTTGCTTCATGCCGAGTATTCACTCCTGGTACTCTGGAGACCAGAATAAGCGTCTTCCTTATAATCTTCCAAAAACCTATCAAAGATATGTTCGGTAAGTGAAACATTATTATCAAACTGCTGATTACAGCAGAAAGCTCTTTTAGTTTTTAAATACAGACTGAGCTGGATTCTTTTCTGGTGGATACTCAGCGGGCACTTTTAATTTGAGGATCAATGCTCAATCTCTTCATCTCAGTTCTTACTATTCTGATTAAAAGCTCCCTTCAACCGTTTATTAACATCTCCCTTCAACACCCGATAAAAAGCTCCCTTCAACCCCTGATTAAAAGCTCCCTTCAACAACCGATAAAAAGCTCCCTTCAACCCCTGATTAAAAGCTCCCTTCAACCCCTGATAAAAAGCTCCCTTCAACCCCTGATTAAAAGCTCCCTTCAACTCCTGATAAAAAGCTCCCTTCAAACCCTAATAAAAAGCTCCCTTCAACCCCTGATAAAAAGCTCCCTTCCACCCCTGATTAAAAACTCCCTTCAACCCCCTGATTAAAAGCTCCTTTCAACTCATGATAAAAAGCTCCCTTCAACCCCCTGATTAAAGGCTCCCTTCAACCCCCGATCAAAGCTTCTTGTAACCCCTGATCAAAAAGCTCCCTTCAACCGCTGACTGGGTACGATTACCATATGGGACATAGAACAAAGATTAAATTAATCTGCAGATTAACAAAAGATCAATAATTGATCTTGATATCTACAGTACAAAAGTTCCAAGCTCTGGACACCTCAGATTATAGAGTTTTATTATCGATTCAGAAAGGTGAGTGGGGTTTAGAGGGTTGATTCGTACCGTTTTAAGTCGTTCTATAGACTTTCTTTCATTAAAGCTAAAAATTCCATTAACAATTCTTTTAAGATGGGCCTTGGAGCAGAGATACAAACTTCTACCTTATTTGAAAACATTGGATAGAGGATGGTACAATAATTCTTTACCAATTGTTCGCCCCGTGTTCCTCGAGCACCCAGATAGAGATTATCTTCATCATTGGACTCAATTCTTCCTTGGAGAAGATATCCTGGTTGCTCCTGTACTTGATGATAACACAGAGCTGGTCAATATTCACTTCCCAATGGGTACTATTTTACAATAAGCTTTAGAGAGGACAAACAATCACAAATTAGATTATGTTATATTTCATATTCGAAATACTGAAACTTGTTGATAAAAAAATATCCAATAATTCTATTGATTCTTTTACCTATACAAGGGTCAAAGCATTGGTTTGGGCACTTATTTCTTTAGAACAAAAATTAGAAACGTAAACTATGAAACAAGTTTTTATAAAAAAGAATTCTTCTTAAAGGATTGTTTATATAATTTCAAGTGACCTTCCAGTAAAGAGTTACATGCCCAATTTTCTTTGTCAAACATTAAAATTTTCACTCAGGGAAATTAAGAGGTTGCCGTTGTGAATCAGACATGTAACAGTTTAAATATGAGATTATTTTCAAGGAGAATAACAAATTGGNAAGGGGGGGTCACTTATAATTTATTTTTTTATTAAAGAAGCCCGGACATTTGACCAACTGAACTCAACTAAATTATTTCAGTCAATTATTTTAAAGTAAACATCAGCTTTTAATAAAACACAGCTGCAGATGTAAGAACAAAGACTGAACAAATTTAGTAAAGTCGTCTTTGAAGTCTCATCCTTTGTGGTTAACCTTGTTTTTAAATTCTAGAACTGCAAAATTTAAAGTTTTCAGGGTCTTGGTATAATCTTGGATCTGGGAACATGGTTAGTTTACCTAGACCTGGAGCAGAGATAACAGTCCGAACAACTCTTTATGAAATACCAACTTTCATCAGGGGTGGCGCAGTCATAGGAAATCACCAACTTTATTCATTAGTTGTGATATAAAGCCTAATATGATATCAGTAGAGCTGTAGTACAAAGGAGTTGAGTCTTTGCCACAAACACACATTTTCTCATCCCAATATTTGTGCAATGGCATGGCTTGAACCTTTGATATTTCAAGCTTAGGTTATTTGATCTGACAGAAATCCAAGTTCGAAATATCTAATGTTGGCTTGCAGTGGTAAAATCAGAGTTCTGTGAAAGGATTAGTTCCAGAAGAAGTTTTATGTCTGTCCTGGAAACAGATTTCATGAATAGCAATATTAAGTTGAACTAGATAGACTTAGTTGAACCACTTCTCATCAACTTGAACCGGTCACACAAGAGAAGAAGTTCAACTAAGTCTACATAGTTCAATTATGTGTCACTATAGCGTTAAAATTGGTTTAAGTTATATTAAAAAAAAATTCTTGGAACCCGTACGGAAGTCCATTAAATTATTTCTTCAAAAGTTGTGTTTTTTGGTACATCATTTTCCCATATTACGTTCCAGTGTATCAGGTTGGTCATTTTTTAGTAATGTACGAATCTGCTGGAAGTGGGACGCTAATAGAAGCAGGTTAAAAAACTTTTTAATAATTAATACACAAATACAGAATTTCAAAGCTTATCTAGCGCACAATATGCAGGTCTGGTGATGTGCAATAACTTAGTTCGTTTTTTATTTGAAATTTTATGGTATTATTTCTTTGAATTCATTGCAGAATAAGTTAGTTGTTGTTAATTGCAATATAGTAGACGTACAAGTCATAAAATATTTATACATTACTACACAGCAGTACAATGAACCAATCAATGATTAAATATCGTACATACGCTCCTTAAACAATGAAATTAGAAACAAGCGCTTTTGAAGCTTTAAAATCTTCTTATCAAGGGAAACAAAAAAAATAGGCATGAACAAAAAAGCAAGGGCACTAACATGCATGTTTCTTTTAAGATCAAGTATCCAATTTCACTGTTTACATTGGACTGGAATGTACTGCAGATCCTAGGAGTCAAATTCAAGAAATCAACAACAAGGTGACTTAAGAACATTACAACAAATTTTGCACATGACTAAATATTATCGCATAGAAATAGAATAGTTTTTATAATTAACGTACAAACAAACTTTTTATTGTAATTGGGGGCATTTTAAAACAAAATTTGAAAAAACTTTCCTTAAAATGGGTTAAAGGTTTTTGCCCGTGGAACCTTTACTGCCTGTTTTACCAACATCGGTTAGAATTGAAAATAGAACCGATTGACTCATAATTTAAATAAAAAAATGTAAATATAACCCCTTTAAATTTTTCGAAAACACTCTAAAAAATGATAAATATTCTATCTCTAGATGTCCAGATGTTATGCCTCTGGGGAATCCTATTTAAACACAGAAACCAATATTCTAAAAACAGCAGTGACAACCTCCCAATCCAAAGGTGTGTATTAAGGGACTCTTGTTGAAATTTCCAGTATGCACGGCCCCCCCCCCTGAGCTTTGGCGGGGGGAGGGGCCGCCCCCTCGTAAGGAAATTCATGATATGAAATAAAAGCATCAAGGAATGAAAGATACAACGAACATAGAATTGAATAAATGACCTGAACTGAAATACCTTTTTAAATTGTTTTCTCATACAGTGATAACCAGAAAACAATGGAATAGAAAGACGACATTATAGCAATAATTAAGCGTTTTGATGTTGTTACAAATCAAATATTTTTACTAATAACTTAGCAAAGCACTATTTAAGTTAAATGGGTCCATTTACACTGATCAATTACTATGCCTAATGTTCATTGAACTAGTTTAAGTCCTAACTTGAGTTTAAAAGTCGTCTTCCTATTTCAGAGTTTTCTGGTTATCACTGTTAAAATTCATAAAACACGTATTTATTAAATTATTAATTAGCGCTCAAAAAAGAACGGATAATCACCAACCTTTGATTAGATATGTAAAAATGTTAAAGATGTTCCATATTTTGGAAATTGGTAAACAGTTTAAATTCCTATTCAAATTATGAGTTGGACAGCGACTTAATTGTTTATTTCTTAATTACCGATAAAATACTTATGCTTAATCGATCTCAATAAAAAAAAAATCTATTTTGGTATGCAAATCTAGAAATGTGATAAAAAATAAGAAATTGGAAATTTACTGCTTTTTGTTTAATTTTTAATTTATTTTTTTTTTGGCGCGCTTACGCGCTCAAATATCGATCCCCATGAGATATTGGATTAGTCCGCCCCTGGAAAGCATTGCATGCCTGATTCAAAATGGTGACCTTTAGAACTTTATTCGATCAATATCAATGTGAAAGATATCCTAGTAAAGAGTAACTTGAGTAACTTTAAAAAGTAAATAAAGTAATTTAAATAGTAACTCAAGTAAGTTTTATAATTAATTACAATTGAAAATAATCAATTTTTCTTAAATAGAAACATATCTGATATTATTGATCATAAGAAGGTTAAAGGATACTGTTGTAAAGCGGAAATGTTATTTAATAAAAATGTATAGATTCACTTAAACTTAAGTAAACGTCTCCAATCCCTTTAAATCTGTATTAAGAGATAAGAAAGTCCTGTAAAATAGCAGAAAATACAAGGTTTTGTGTGAAAACTTGTATAATATCCAGAGTGATGATTAAACACAAAGCTTTCTTAACTTCCCTATATAAGTTTCGTTGGATCAAGATTATATTGGATTAAAACTAATCATACAGAAATACGAAACCTTTAACATCTCTTCTGTTTTATTTAGGAACTATCACATTTAAGATGGACATGAATCCAGATGATAAACTTCGGAATATTAACTCTATGCGAATGTCTGGACTTCAAAATAATGGGGATATTCTGACAATCAGCTTGCCAGGTATTCTAGTAAAGTATACAAGGAAATAAAAGAATTGTTGTTTTATAAATCTGTGAGTTCAGAACGGTTTTCCCCCTCATAAGCTCAAAAGATTCATGATCCGAACCAGTACAAGGATACCAGTCTAGTTTTTACCGTACCATCCCGTCTAGTGTACCCAGTATGTGGTTGTGGACATTTAGAACACCTTCATGAATGCTAAGCTCTCCATTTCCATATTATTAGATTTGTGAATTTTAAAGACAAGAGTTTTGTTGAGTAAACATTTTTTTTGAAAAAGCCAATAAAGGTGTACTGTAAATTGTTCTGTACGTCACGTATACTTTTAAATCAGTAATTCATGATACGTATTTTTTGCCTTATAATTGCAAAAGTTAACGAGGAATGAATTCTTAACTCAAACGCCAATTTTCTAATTATTATATCTTTGGAACCTAATGGCATAGGCCAGTGATGTTTCAAACTATTAATTCGGTTAGCTCAAGGTCAGAGTTTAAAATATAAAATATTTACATCTTCAGGTTGCCAGCTACAAGGGTTAAAACATTAGTGTTTGAATTGAGTTATTAGTTTTTTATCCTGATTTATTCTAGGAGGGGTTAATATAACCGCAACAGATAGTATTGATACATCTGTGGGGGATGGACCGTCAGCCGTTTACAGCAAGGATAAACAGCACCTTCTCCTTAGGTAAATATCATTCTTTCTCCTTCTCATACTATAGCAAGGATAAACAGAACCTTCTCCTTAGGTAAATATCATTCTTTCTCCTCCTTCTCATACTATAGCATAGATAAACAGCACCTTCTCCTTAGGTAAATATCATTCTTTCTCCTCCTTCTCGTACTATAGCAAGAATAAACAGCACATTCTCCTTAGGTAAATATCATTCTTTCCCCTTCTTCTCTCTCTCCCACTATAGCAAGGATAAACATCACCTTCTCCTTAGGTAAATATCATTCTTTCTCCTCCTTCTCATACTATAGCATAGATAAACACCACATTCTCCTTAGGTAGATATCATTCTTTCTCCTTCTTCTCTCTCTCCCACTATAGCAAGGATAAACATCACCTTCTCCTTATCTAAATATCATTCTTTCTTATCCTTCCCCTTCTCATACTAAAGCAAGAATAAACAGCACATTCTTCTTAGGTAAATATAACTCTTTCTAATCCTTCTCCTTCTCATACAGCATCATAAATAAACAGCACCTTTTCCTTAGATAAATATTATTCTTTCTCATCCTTCTCCTTCTCCTACAGCACCATAAATAAACAGCACTTTTTCCTTAGATAATATTATTCTTTCTCATCCTTCTCCTTCTCATAATAAATTCCGAAGGATAAATACAATAAAAAAAGAACGACTCCACGTGGGCCTATTAGGCTGAAAAGTACCATCACGATGTATACAATTATTTGGGCGCATTTGGGCAGTATTCACATAAGAAATAATATTGATAAAGTGTACTGCAGTTTAGTGTTTGTAAACAAATCTAGAGGAGTTCTTCGTAAATATGCAAAGTTTGGCCGATATTTCATTGCGGATAAAAAAATTCTGGTTTGTTGATTTATTGGAAGCTTTTGTTAAAAAAACAGATATAATTGATTTAATGGTTTACAATGTGGATATTGTTAAAATGTAGAAGTATAAAGGATAAAAAGTACATCCAAACTTTAGGTGACATTTATTTCTATATTTTATGTGAAATCCTAGAAAAGGTCAACAGAAAACAGTCATACACAAAGCACTTTCTTTAATTAAGCGCAGATTTTAAATAAAATTTTAAAATTTGTGGCTTTGGTCATATGTTATTTTTCAATGGACACTATGTATACGTAATTTTTCAATGCCTCTTCATTTATCGAATAGCATGTTCGATTCACAACGGTGTTCTTTCAACCTTTGTGTGATCCAGGATAACATAAACACATAAACCCATAGTTTTTGTGACATTCTACTATTTATCTATAAAAACATATAATTAGACCTTTAAAAAGATGTTAGAAAAAATACGAAATATTAATGATTACTAGTTTAAACAAGAATTAAGGAACTGAGTTTTTTTTACACAGAAACTGTGATTTTAAAATCCCTATTATGCAGACCTTTGATATTTCAGACTATGAATTCAAAGAACAAAGAGTATAAGTTTGAAATATCAAATGTTTACACCATCAGGTTGGGATTAGAAAATTTGAGTTTGTGGCAAAACTCAGTTTTTATTGCGAAATGTAAAATAAATGTTATTGATAGGAATCTGGAGATGGAGTCCAGCACCTACCAGAATACCACTCTTAGTTGGGAGTTCTCTGCTGAAAACACTACCTAGAGAACGTGATGAAGAAGTCTGTCTGGAACCTCATTACGAGTGATATGTTTACAAACAAACCAGTGCTTTTTTGTCAATAAAAATTGCAATAATAATGTTCTTTAAAAAACATTTTTTGATTTGTAGAAAACGGTTTATCTTATTTTTTTAGTATTAATGATTTTATTTCCCGAAAATTATTAAGCCTATTTGAAAATCTAGAATATACCTTTTTAGTCTGAAATTTTATTCTCTGCCCTGCGATCTAATTTAAAAGTTTAATTCTCTATTCTATCCAAAGAAACAGACAACTCTTAATCTTTAATAATCACTATATCTTTGCAACCTCATGTTGCATGGACCTTTGATACTATAAACTTAAACTATATTGAAATTGGAAATCATAGTTTGAAATATCCAGGGTATACAACATCAGGTTGCAAAGATTAGATTAGAAAATTAGAATTTGATTCACATTTTTGACTTTTCCATTATAAACAAATACTTTTTTATTTTCCCTCCCTCAATCTATCGACTGAGGTTTCTGGAACCCCTGCCTCACATAGATCCGGACTGCTCTGAAAAGTTGCATCTATTTTCTTCAAAACTTCGTCAATTTGAAAGTGTCGCAACACCTTGACCTTTAATTTTACCCCATGGCATACTGGCTAGCTCACTTGTATTTGTGGTCGCCCTTTTTTTATGAGACGGGGTCATTTCCTCCTTATACATATTTCTATACATATGTATAGTTGTTTCAAAAAATTGAAATAAGGTTCCATATAAAGAAATTGAGTCTTTGGCACAAATTTTCTCTTCCCTTTATCTTTGGAACTTGATGGTGCACTATTACAGGGGCGGATCCAGAATCATTTAAAAATTTTGTAGAATGACTTTGCGAAGGTGAATTTGATGATTTTTTAAGATTTTATTTGATGAAATTTGAAAAATTCTTCGAGTGGGGGTCAACTTCCAATAACACTGTGATGGGGGAGGTCACCGAGCGAAATTTGTGAGCGAGGAGGGACTCAATTTTTTTTAAAGGAATTAGCATTGAGAGTGAGTATTTTAAAGGCTTAAAATATAGTAAATTACTCTTAAAATATGTACAAATATTGCCACCTTAGTTAGAACTGATACTTTCAAATTTTTCACTCAGGAATCTCAGACAAGACAAATATTGCCATATAAAAGGATATCAAGGATAGGTCGAGAATATAGCATTTTAAAATCAAACATGGCTCCCTCAAATTAGGTTTTAAGAAAAAAAGTTAAAAAATCGCTAGTAGTATAAGTGAAAATCAAATTTTTGAAAGCATTTTGATATAGGTATGCAATAAAATCTGCGTATGTAAACCAGAGTTTAAAACAATTTAAAGTGTTAAAAATGTTATGAATTGAGCAAGCTATGGTGAAATTTTTTTTTTCTGTATCTAAATTTGTTGGTACTAAAAAATGTGTTTTTACTTTAAATCTGTCAATTTCTAATATTTATATATTCTGTAATTTGATTTAAATTCTTAAAACAAACCCAGTTTCAAAAATACCCATATATTGAATTTCTGAAAAATGTCACAAAATGTCACATTATTTATCAATGAAATAAAAAATGTTTTGTCAAAGCACCCCTCTAAAATAAAAAAGTGACATCTTGAATCATTCTACTTCAAACTTGATTTTTTTAGAACTAAAGACGCTGTCAGATTTAGTATGAGTATAATTTTGTGTGTGAAGTTAAGAAGTTTTATTTTGGACACCCGGTTCTTCAAATTTTACGCACACATGTGTATTTAGGTAGGCGTATGTGTACATGGGGGGGGGGAGTGCTGCCCTATAAAGGGGAGGGGTCGGGTTTAATCTCTAACGTAAAACTGACAGTAACACTCCAGTTCCTTCTTAGCTGTATTCCGTTCTTATCTTTCATGTTGCAATTATAACAAAATCTTCAAGAAATTACATGTTTAAAATAAAACCCATTATTGATCGATTTAATAATGAATGAAATCAGCAATGTATAAAAAATATAAGATTTAAGACTAGTAAAAGAGTTAAAATTGCAACTGTCCTCATTTCTTCAAGGGGGGTGATGTAAGAAAGTATCAATTTTTGCGATGAACATAGATCGGCTTCTTTAAATATTAATGTGTGACTCATAATTGGAAATATTCTAGTTCTACCGTGAATTAAAATCAACAAGTGCAGAGGGAAGGATCCCTCCCCCCCCCCCCCCCCCCCCCCCCAACACCAAACTCAGCTGTAGAAAGCTCAAAATATTCAGTAACAGTTGCTAAGTTACAACTGTGCTCTTTCCGTAACTGTACAGTGCAGTGTACTGTGTAAGTGTACAGTGTACAGTGAGAATATAGTGATCGTATAAAGCAAGTAATGTGATATCGATAAACGTTTACAAATTACAAGAAGATTGAAAAAATAAATTTATACCTTACACTAAATAAATAACAAGAATAGTAAACTGCAAAATTATTCCTGAAAATCCACCAATTTTAGAATGGGAAAATCTGAAGAATTGTTTGCTTTAGAAAAAGAGGGAAATGAATTTATTTTGCAATTATCAACAGGTTTAATTGTTTAATTGTTTTGTTTTTATAGTTACTAGTTTCCTATTTGTAAAACAATTTACTCTGTTTAATTCATAAAAATTTTATTTGGCTTTTTGCTTCAAAATTAAAAAATTAAGACTTTGATAAAAATATGTTAAAATCTGCAAATTCTGTTATAAACACAAAATAAATTCATTTACTGTCATCAGGTGATTCATGCATTAACAAAAACAGTAAAAAAGATTCATCATTTAAATCTTGAAAAAAACTCTAGTTTTAACAGGAGTAATCCCAGTTTCAAATCATCCAGTGAAAAAACTGATTCGTTCAATGAATCTGGGGATCCAAGATTTTATCAGCCTAGTCCTTGTTCAATCAGCAGTATTGAACATAATATCTTAGATAATCAGCCAGGGCCTAGTTCAATCAGCAGTATTGAACATTATCAGCCAGGGCCTAGTTCAATCGGCAGTATAGAACATTATCAGCCAGGGCCTAGTTCAATCAGCAGTATTGAACATTATCAGCCAGGGCCTAGTTCAATCGGCAGCATTGAACATTATCAGCTAGATAATGAGCTAGGGCCTAGTTCAAACAGCAGTATTAAACATTATCAGTTAGATAATCAGCCAGGGCCTAGCTCAAACATCAGTATTAAGCATCATCAGCTAGATAATCAGCCAGGGCCTAGTTCAATCAGCAATCTAGATAATCCAAATTTCAGTGCAGTTGTCAACTTTGAAACTAATCAGCCAGAATGTGACAGAGGAGCACAAAAGGAGAAAGAAAATTCAACGGAGAAAATAAAGGTTAGAATTCAAATTAGAAATCTTTATAATAAAACAAGACATTCGTATATGTATACAGGGGCGGACACAGGATTTAAGTGAGGGGGTGGCAAGATTTTTTATTCCATTTATCGTATTTGAATAAGTATAGTCAATTTCTTGAATATTCTGATTAATATGAGCTTGGTTCCATATTACTTGATAATTTAGATTGTTCACAAAACCTGAAATTGAGTTCACAAACTGAGTATTTCTTCTAAAGTCACAGTTTAGATCACCACAAATAAGAACACTGGAAAGCATATTTTGTCTTATAATATCATTGATCTCAGCCAGAGTTTGAAGAAGTTCTTGATCATTAAAATCATGTTGAGGATCGTTCATCCGGCCAAACTGCTGGACCGAATGGGCTGAAATTTTTGAGGGAACCCATGGGTAACCTGGGGGTAACATGGGCTAAAGAAATTCTGAAATTTGTATTTTTAAAAAATTTAATTTATTTCAAAATCGGAATTTCATTCTTTCAAATTTTTTATTCAAAATTCCACGGGCAAAGCCGAGCCCTTCAGCTAGTATAGAAGCATAGAGAATAGAATATATATTAGAGGGGAATTTAGAGAATCTCTCGGTATGAGTTTTTTCAGTCCCTTTCAGCCTGAAAGGGAGTTCAAAGTGTACAAATCATGTAAATGTTCACAAATTATGTGCAGTAGAGTACATTAATACAGTATGTTCCCTAGACTATTCATTTCAATTTCGAATTTTTTAAAGCTCTTAAATAAACTTTATAATGAATTAAGTGAATAAAAAACATCATTTGATTTATAGTTATAACGGAAATCATCGTTTGTAAAGTGAAAAACATAGAGTCTATTTGAAATGATCATTGGTCAATTATGAAACCAGCCTATTTCATAATTTGATTTTCATTAATTTTAGATTTTCTATAAAATGATATTCCAGGGCCCAAAAGGTATATAGCATAAATATGTGATGTACACCTGCACAGTATGGAAACTGTACAACAAAATGGCCGTTTTATACTTTTTTCTAGTAAATTCCCCTCTAATATATTCTCTAATATATAATATTCTCTTTGTATAGAAGTAAGACTAAATCTCTTTTTTTGTTTATCAGTTATATTACTTCAAACATGTCTTAACCTTTTTAATGTCTTACTAAGATACTAGGCTTTTAGAGATGTCACCCTTCTTCTCAAGTTACAATATTAGTTTTCAACTGTGATTTACAACTTACAAGCCAACAACTTAAAAGCCACTATTTTATCATCGAACTATAATAAACAAAACTTGGCTTAGATTCTTCTGCTTAAGATGATTTTTATTCAAACATCGCAAAGTTTTTAATTTCGACCAGTTATAAACCTTCCCTAGCGTCATGTGAGTTGCCGCACAAATTTAGGCCCGATCGGTTCAGCTGTTTTGACGTTTATTGGATACAAACAAACAAACATGTAAAATAAATGGACTAACTTGAGAACCTGGAAACTATATCTAATCTATTAGATTAAAGCCAACTCAACCTATAATGTTTAAACCAAGCTAACAACATTTTATTGGTTCCTCCATCAAAATTCAAGGCAACTCGGATAAGGGGTTCCTGAGCTATGATCGGACATACATACACCCTTACAGAGATTACTGCTTTATATATTACAGCTCCACCTGCACACTAAACTTTACCTTTAAATGTAAATCTACTCAACTTTGAATCTTTGATCCAAGCTAAGAACATTAGTTCTACCGAGTTCTCCAATAAGATTGTTTTGATCCCTTATATCCTAATTTTTATATTTTCATCTCTTGTGCTTTTTTTTTTATAGTTTGATCCCTTGTATCTTTTTTATAGTTTGATCCCTTGTATCTTTTTATAGTTTCATTCCTTGTGTTTTTATTTTTTTTGTTTCATCCCTTGTATCTTTTTATACTTTGCTCCCTTATTTCTTTTTTGTATTTTTTTGATCCCTTGTATGCTGATATCCTTTGTCTATTGTAAACAGATTCCCTGTATCTTGTTCAATTGTATCCAACTGATCCTTTGTGTATTGTGACCCAGCCCTTGAGTCTACCTTACTTTATATTGTTGAATATTTTGTAAAATATATAACCATGACAACTTTCTAACTAGTCTAGTTCTTTTATTTAACTATCAATCTATTTAACTATCTATCTATCCCAATTATCTGTAAAATATTGTGAAGCTACTTATCATTAAATGGTATACATTTTGAAAGGTAACTTTAGAACAGAGGAGGGGGGAATCTAACCTCAGTTGCCATGGTTCTCCTACCTTTCCCCCCCCCCCTATCCTCACAACCAGACACAACTAGTTCACTCTAACTAATCATCCATATACACACTGTGTGTTTTTTTAAACCCAGTACCATTGTACAGCAAATTTATATACTGTATAAATAGTTCGTAAATATAATGTACGGGAGTGAAAGTGAAGAAGAAACTATCCACGAGGATATATTAGAACAATTTGTTCTTCTAGAACATCCAAATCAAGGATTGATGAAGAATGCATCCAACTCTAAATCTTTGGATGCAGAAAGTACCATCAAAAGTAAAATAAAATCAAAATTTGATACAGAGAAGGAAGAATTATTAGATTTTTCCTTGGATAGCCTCAATACTGGAGATAATATCGTTTTTAATTCATCTCATGCAAGAAATATTCATGAAACTGATAATGATGTTACTGAGGTTGATTTCACAGATATATTTAAACTCTCAAAGTCCGAAGAAGAAGAACGCTCTGAAATTCCTTCTGTATTTCATCTACCAGGAAGATATTTACTCTCTGCAAGTTCCATGTTGGAGCCGGAGTCAACAGACTCTTTATTGTCAGATACCGAACCTAAATCAAAAGATTTTCTAGAAGGAGAAAATGGAAAAGATATTTTTGATATGACAAATTTTTCTGACTTTAAATTAGAAAGTAACTGGCTCTCTAAATATTGCCAAAAAAATGGGATTGATGCGAATTCACAAGAGCTTTGGGACGAGGAAGAAAATTGTGAGCAATTTAAAACTGGCTCAGCTTTCTGTCTACCATTGATTTCTACGAAAAAAGAGATTCTTGATTCTGCTACGACTTTTACCAAGGATAAAATGAATAAATTTGATTTTCCATCTGAAGCGATAAGCTCCACTGTTAAAAGCATAAAACATCAAGATGAGCTTGATCTGGAAGAATCCGAATTTTCAATAGAAGAAGTAGATATTGTTGATGACACCAATAATTCTGTTCAAGAAACAGAAATCTCGGATGGCTTAGATAAAGCTAAGGTTGAACAAGATAAAAATCCAATAGATGAAGACGATAAACCTTCAGTAGATGAAATTAAATCAATAAATGAAGATGATAAACCTTCAGTAGTTGAAGATAAATCAATAAATGAAGACAATGAACCTCCAGGAGACGAATCTAAAACAATGAATGAAGACAATAAATCTCTAGTAGTTGAAGATAAATCAATAAATGAAGACTATAAACCTCCAGTAGACGAAACAAAACCAAAAAATGAAGACGCTAAATCTGCAGTACATGAAGATAAACCAATAAATGAAGACGACAAACCTCCAGTAGATGAAGATAAACCAATAAATGAAGAAAATAAACCTGCAGTAGACGAAACAAAACCAATGAATGAAGAAGCTGAATCTCAAGTAGATGAAGATAAACCAATAAATGAAGACGACAAACCTCCAGTAGATGAAGATAAACCAATAAATGAAGACGAAAAACCTCCAGCAGATGAAGATAAACCAAGAAATCAAGACATAAAACCTCCAGTAAATGAAGATAAACCAATGATTGAAGACAATAAACTTCTTGTAGATGTTGTAGGAGATGTTGCTGAACCTCTAATTGATCTTGTTTCAGTTTTTGAACCTCTGTTGGGAGATGATAAATCTCTTTTTGCAGATTCTGAACCTTTAGTTTATGAAAGTAAATCTCTGGTTGAAGAAACCGAACCTCTAGATATAGATTCTAAACCTCTAGCTGGAGATTATAAACCTCTAGTTGAAGATGCTGAACCTATACTTGAAGATTATAAACCTCTAGTTGAAGATGCTGAACCTCTAGTTGAAGATACTAAACCTCTAGCTGAAGATTATAAACCTCTAGTTGAAGATGCTGAACTTATAGTTGAAGATACTGAACCTGTAGTTGAAGATACTGAACCTGTAGTTGAAGATACTGAACCTGTAGTTGAAGATACTGAACCTCTATTTGAAGATACTGAACCTGTAGTTGAAGATACTGAGCCTGTAGTTGAAGATGATAAACCTTTAGTTGAAGATGATAAACCTCTTGTTGAAGATGCTGAACCTCTAGTTGAATATCCTGAACCTATGGTTGAAGATGCTCAACCTTTGGTTGAAGATGCTGAACATATGGTTGAAGATGCTGAACTTATAGTTGAAGATACTGAATCTGCAGTTGAAGATACTGAACCTGTAGTTGAAGATACTGAACCCGTAGTTGAAGATACTGAACCTGTAGTTGAAGATGATAAACCTCTTGCTGAAGATGCTGAACCTCTAGTTGAAGATGCTGAACCTCTAGTTGAAGATGATAAACCTATAGTTGAAGATGATAAACCTATAATTGAAGATGCTGAATCTCTAGTTGAAGATGATACATCTCGAGTTAAAAAAACTGAACTTCTAGCTGTAGATGACAAACCTTTAGTTGAAGATGCTGAACCTCCAGTGGAAGATGCTGAACCCCTAGTTGAAGATACTGAACCTATGGTTCAAGACACCGAACCTATTCTTGAAGATGCTGAACCTCTAGTTGAAGATTCTGAACCTCTTGTTGAAAATGATAAACCTTTATTTGAAGATGCTGAACCGTTAGTTGAAGATGCTGAACCTTTTGTGGAAGATGATACATCTCTAGTTGAAAAAACTGAAGCTCTAGATGAAGATGCTAAACATTTATTTGAAACTGCTGAACCTCTAGCTGGAGATGCTGAACCTCTAGTTGAAGATTCTGAATCTCTTGTTGACGATGATCAACCTATAGTTAAAGAAGCTGAACCTATATTTGAAGATGCTGAACCTATGGTTAAAGATTCTGAACCTATGGTTGACGAGGCTGAACCTCTAGTTGAAGCTGATAAACCTCTAGTTGACGATGCTGAACCTCTAGTTGAAGATGCTGAACCTCTAGTTAAAGATGCTGAACATCTAGTTGAAGAGGCTGAACCTTTAGTTGAAGATGCTGAACCTATAGTTGAAGATTCTAAACCTCTAGTTGAAGATGATACACATCTAGATGAAGATGTTGAACCTCTTGTTGACGATGATCAATCTCTAGTTGAAAGAACTGAACCTCTAGTTGAAAGTACTGAACCTATTGTTGAAGATGCTGTACCTCTAGTTGCAGATGATCAATCTCTAGTTGAAGATGAAAAACTTCTAGTTGTAGATGATCAACCTATAGTTGAAGATGATAAACCTCTGGTTGAAGATGATCAACCACTGGTTGAAGATGATAAACCTCTGGTTGAGGATGATCAATCTCTAGCTGAAGATTACAAACCACTAGTTGTTGATGATAATCCTCTAGTTGAAGAAACTGAACCTCTAGTTGAATATGATAAACCACTAGTTGAAGATACTGAACCTCTAGTTGAGGACCATAAACCTCTAGTTGAGGAACCTCTGTTTGTAGATGATACACCTCTAGTTAAAGATGCTGAATCTATGGTGGAAGATGCTGAACCTCTAGTTGAAGATACTGAACCTCTTGTTGAAGATGCTGCACCTCTAGTTGAAGATACTGAACCTCAAGTTGAAACTGATAAACCTCTAGTTGTAGATGCTGAACCTCTAGTTGAAGCCACTGAACCTGAAAACTATAAACATAGAGTTGACCATATTGAACTTCTAGTTAAAGATGATAAGCCTCTAGTTGAAGCCACTGAACCTGGAAACTATAAACCTAGAGTTGACCATATTAAAGGTGCTAAGCCTATTGTTGAAGACACTGAACCTCTAGTTGAAACTGATAAACCTCTAGTTGGAGATGCTGAACGTTTAGTTGAAGATGCGGAACCTCAAGTTGAAGATGATATACCTATTGTTGAAGATACTGAACCTCTAGTTGAAGATGATAAACCTCTAGTTGAAGATGATAGACCTCTAGTTAAAGATGATCAACCATTAGTTGAAGATAATACACCTCTAGTTGAAGCTACTAAACCTGAAAACTATGAACCTAGAGTTGACCATGATGAACCTCTAATGGAGAATAACGTGCCTCCAGCAGAAAATACTGATCTTCCAATTGAAGATTCTGAAGTTTCAGCTAAACCTGAAGTAAAAGAATATGAACCTCAAGATGAAGATATTGAACCTGTAATTAAAGAACTTTGTGATTTGGAAAATGGTTCTGTTAACAAAGAAGTTTTAGAAAGATGTGATTCTGAAGCAGAAAAACATTTGAACAAAGATATCACTGGTTTGAAATATATTTTAGAAAAAGATTTTCATTCTGGAGATGAGATTTCAAAGAAAATTGTTGATGTCCAAGAACCTAATGCATTAACATCTTCAATAGAAGCAAACGAATCTTTGGACAACAATCAATTACTTGTCGAAGAACAAATTCTATCAGATCAGGAACTGGAGATGGTTCAAACTGAGAGAATCAGGAAAGTAGAACCAGTCAAAGATGTTCTAGACACAGAGCAGATGGAAGACATTGAATATTCAACAACAGAAAGCTATTCTATAAAAATAGCTGAGAATAGAGTTGAAGATCATCATTTCAAAATTTCTAATAAATGGGTTCATGATGACAGCATAATTAATGATGATTGTATGAAAGCTAAAGAAAAACTAGAATACTGCTCAATAGAAAACCTTAATATGAAAAAGTTTATATCAATGACGGCAGATCTTGAAATAGTGGAAAAAATTGAACTAAGCTCTGATGATGATTGGGACATGAATGTTAATACAAAAGAACATGATGAAAACTTTCCCTTTGGGAATTCTGTGGAACAAAGGCTGACTTCATCTGTGGGCTCACATAACAATATTAATACAACGTTTGATCAAGAAGTACAGAAATTGAAAAATATTGCAAGTTCTCCTCAAAACCTGAATTCAACTTATTATGAAAGGAATATTTAACTTTATTGGTATTTTTGTTTAAATTTGGATTAACACAAGCTTATCTTTAGCTGTACAATAAAATATAAAATTATTTAGTTCATGTCAATAATTCACTCACAAGACTTAAAATATATAAAGTTAAGTATCATTGATCAGACCTGGTTCCTGTAGTGAGTCTGTACTAGAACCATCAGTTCCTACCTGGAATAGAAGGATGAGTGAAGAGAAAATAGTTCCTGCAGCTCCTCTGGCTGGTAGATTCAAAATAAGTCCTGTCTCTGATTTCTCTAAACCCTCATACTTAAAGAAGGAGAAATCTGTTCACAATAAAGATTCCTCCACGGATGAGAGTGAGGATGAGAATACAGTTCATGTTTACAAGATTGTTCATGATAACCTGGTAGAGCACAGGAACCTCAGACCTATCTTGAAGAAACCAAACTCTAACAGCAGTTTCTGTTCTGGAGGGAGTCAAACAGATATATCTGCAATACAATCAGTTTTGGTACATAATACACATTTACATACAATAAAGATATATCTGTTTGGTACATAATACACAGATATATATGCTATGCAATCAGTTTTGGTACATAATACACATTTACATACAATAAAGATATATCTGTAATACAATCAGTTTTGGTACATAATACACAGATATATATGCTATGCAATCAGTTTTGGTAAAAAATATACAGATACATTTAATATAGATAGATATTATCTTCAATACAACTAGATTTGGTACAAAGAACATTTATATGCATTATTTCCTAATTTTCATGAAAAAGTTTTATGTGTACACCAACTTTGTAAACCCAGCTTGGCCTGGAGAAGATAAGTTTTCCCTGTTAAGGTCGGCCCGGGACAATACCTTTGACCAACAAACAATCAGATATTAAATATCTGTGATTTACTGAATTTATTGAAAATCAATAATAAAACCAGGATTACAGATATCTAAAAATCAATAATAAAACCAGGATTAAAGATATCTGAAAATCAATAATAAAACCAGGATTAAAGATATCTGAAAATCAATAATAAAACCAGGATTAAAGATATCTGAAAATCAATAATATAACCAGGATTACAGATATCTGAAAATCAATAATAAAACCAGGATTAAAGATATCTGAAAATTGATAATAAAACCAGGATTAAAGATATCTGAAAAGATACCAATGTATGGAGCTTCTGTCTAATTGTTAATATCAAGATCAAATAGTATTTCCAATATTTTACTGCGACAGTTCCTTCATTAGTAACTTATTCTTTTTTTAAAGAAAAAAACAACAATTTTCTAAATTATTCACGAGATATATAAATACATAGTTTTCGAATCCATTAAAGTACTCTCAAATTAAGAAAAGATTAAATTTTCGTTTTTATATACCTGCATGGGTTTCAGGCAGTGCATTATAATGAATGGTCTTTTTGTTATTATTACGCTGAAAATTTTAAATAAAGATAAATTAAAGTTCATCAAAGATAAATACTCTTTAAAACACAGAACTTCACCAGCGTTAAACCTCACAGACTTAAAGAGACTGTAAGCGTATAATTGCATGTGACCCTCCATGTAAAGATTGAAATCCTCGATTCACAACTATACCCTTGAGACTTTAATCTGATCAATGATGTGGAATGTATTGTCGTTTTCTAGGTTTATAACTGTTTAATTCTGATAATTTTAAAAGTTTTCATGCAGTGGAATGCGCAAGTGACTTTTACAGAGAACCCAAAGTTTCCAAAACTATAAACGTTGATATCTAATTCGTACTTGACCAGGCATTGCTTTTAAGGGTAACATTGTGAATCGGGAATTGCCATCTTTGCATTGAGGGACCTTGAAATTTCGCTTACATTCCCTTTAATAATAATAAACAATTTCCGAATATTCAGTTTAACAGACCAGCATTAGAAAATTACATATATTTATTCTAGACTCGGAGTGATGATAAATGGGATCCCCAGGTTCTATCCAAATCCAAATATAGTTCAGGTAGAATCATTACAAATATGTTGGAGAGAAAATTAAACTATAAATGACGATTCAAAGTTTAAATTAAGTCTTCTGCCATTCCACGTTTACCATACAAAAGTCGAGTTAAATTTTGCAATAGTCGTGTGTTACAGTGCTTAGGATCCATTTAATTTTGATGCGGATTCAGATCCGGATCCAGGTCATTTCTATAAGATTTACAAAAAATAATTTTCAAATTTTTTGTTTTATTTTTTTCGCATATTTTTATCCTAAAACTTGATGAACCATTCAGAAATGAAATTTTATAATCTCTCTTTTTTTCAAAAGTTCAGATTTTGGGTTTAGGCGTAAAAAAGTATTTTTTGCAGTTTATAGTTGATATTTTACCCCCTTGGATCCGGATCCGGATCCAGGAAGCCAAAATCTTGCGAATCCAACGGATCCGGATCAGGATCCTAAGCATTGGTTAACAATAACACCGACTTTTGAACCACTTTTGAACTTGACTTTTTGAATCCCAGTTTGGTTCAAAAGTCTGTGTTTTGCAACGACTAATGCAGAGTTTAACTAGTTGTTCCCGCCAGTTCTGTTCGGTGGGACCTTAATCCTAATTTTAGAATCCAACCTGGGGAGAAGGACGATTCCACACTACTCCTCCTCCTCCTCCCTCCCTCCTCCTCTTACACCCATCCTTCCTTCAGTACCTCGGGAACTCACGAAGAGTAATTCTGTTACCTTTCTGCTTCACAACTCTAAGGAAGTGTAAGTATTTTTTTTCATGAGAAATTTTTATTTTTCCAAATGATGAATTCAAGATTTAAAAACTTCATGACTGTGATCATGTAATGGAATATTTATAGGTTTTCTTCTTTAGTTCAACATTGATATCTGTGCAGGAAAGGTTTTAGACCTTTCTTGCTAAGCTAATACGAATTGTTGTCGTCATACAAAGGTGGATTAGAAAGACTCATAGAATAGAGAAATAGAATTTTAATTATTTTTGCGACTACTATATTGTATCGTATAGTTAACCTACTATATAAAGCTGCCCTCAGTAGTGCCTCCTCAATTGTGCTTAATCCCAACTACATAGTCCTCATTATTAGTGCATCTTTTGCATAGTGATTCATCCATATTCAATCCTTGCCTATTTTTTATCGTAAAATATAATCCTGCTTGGTTTAGATTAAGACCTGAGAAGTGTGGTAGTGTGGAGAGTATATTCCAGGACATAAATTATCTGAAAACGTTTAAGAAGAAAATATCATCATCTTCTACACAAGAAGAAACGACTGGAAGGTACCCTCCCCCCCCCACAGTGGGGTAGTAGGGGGAGGGGGGGAATAAGCCAAAATGAGTTTATCATCTTATTTATGTCAAATAAGGCTTGGCCGCTCAAGGTTTTTTTTGAGAGAAGTCTCTTAAGTTGTTTAAATTTTATATTTTAGTTAAGAATTTCGACCGAAACCCACTATTTCATTGAAAACTCTTAAAAATAGGATTTTTCAACACGCTACTCTGACTAAATCAAGGTTTTGGCGTGCTGATTGAGCCCCTAAATCTTTTCTTATGGCTGTTAGAATCCTTTTATATATTTAGATTATACCGAACCCCATATGCTTTCTTGCTATAAAATATATGTTTTTCTTCCGAAATAGCTCGCTCAACAAAGACGACATCTACATATATTGCGGGTTTACATGATCCATTCAAGGAGAAATATATGTGCGGGAAAAGTAATTATAAATTGAAATCATAAATAAATGCTAGCTACAATAATTGCAATGTTTGAAAAAAAAATATTAGAACATATTCATTTTCTCCATTCTCACCATGTAACACAAAACAAATGCATTTTAAGAGGAATTTTGTGACAAAAGCCAGTCACCCTCACTCCATGACCCCCTAAAATATCCCACCGTGCCCCCCCCCTTATAGGGACTCCTTTATTCTTCTGTACATTAATTTTTATCGTAACATAAAACTAATTACACCTCTCAAAATCGAATTTTCTAATCCTAATATCTTTGCAACATGATGTCTTAGACCTGAAATATTTAGAACTCTGATTTTTTTAGATCACAAAGTTTCGGTTTGAAACATAAAAGTTAACACCATCACATTGCAAAGATATAGGGATTAGAAAATCAGATGTTGAAAAAGTAATGTGAGGGAAAGAAATACAGTTTCATCCAAAAATTTAGAGACATCTACAATATCCAGGGGATTTATTTTATTCATATAATCCAGAAAAAAATAAAAAACCATTTAAATTCCTTTAAAATTCTGTGTGCACAGTGTAAACTCAACACAGCTGATGCGTTACTTGTGTCCCTTGATATTACCGAATATTTTACATCCATAACGGTTTCCAAAGATTTGAAATAAATATTTATTTTCTACCAATTCTAGAAAGTGAATATTAAGAGTTAGAACTTAAAACAGCTTGCAAACAAAGCGTTTAACAATTAAAAGCGTTTTCGTAGATTAATGAGAATAAGTCCGAAAACCTTGATCAGTCAAAGGTTTACAGGTACCATTGTGAATCAGGCATTACCAACTTAGCACTGAGAGTCACTTAAAATTACGTGGACAGTCTCTTAAATCTTATAAAATTCTATTTTATAAAAGGTATTCTTTACTGGACCGGAATCTGACTGCTCTTAAATCTTACAAAATTCTATTTTATGAAAGGTATTCTTTACTGGACCGGAATCTGACTGCTCTTAAATCTTATAAAATTCTATTTTATAAAAGGTATTCTTTACTGGATGAATACCGAGCCTTTTTTTCATTAAAACTAGTAATTTTTGTTTGATAATTAGAATATATTACGTAGATTTCTTTGCATTATTATCAGTTTTAAATGTTAAGTACAGTTAATTTTTGTATTTCTTTGTTACTTATTTTTAAAACCAGCCTTTTTTTTCATGAAGAGGTAGATTTTGATATATTGTTTCATGGAACGGGTTAATTTAACTTAACTTTTACCAAATGAAATTTTTATCAGTTTAGCTTGAATATAAGGATATCAAAACGAAATCCATTATCAAAACTTAGCTTGATTGATTTTTTACTATGTACAATGAACTAAACAGTCTACCATAAAGTCAACCATTCTGACCTATAAACCAACTGTATTATCTTGAGATATTGCTCAAAATGTGATGCTAGAGTGGGAGCGGCGCCCCTCCCCTGCTTGATTATATGTATGGGCGTTTTTTTTTGAGTTGGGAGGATTTGTCACATTCTTCAAATGTTCGATTTTTAGGTAGACCTAGCTCTAGTAGGACACATGAACTCCTGCGAGGAGGAGGATACGGAGATAGATTGTTCAATTCTTCCCGGTTCATCTCCGATCCTCTCCAATCTTTCTCATCCGTCCCACCCTGCAATCAAGCGAAGTAAGCGAAATGTTTGTTAAATTTCGCTACTTTAAAAACATGTTCAAAAGAATCAAAAATTTAAACTTTTATTTTCAGTTGATTACAGGAGTGAACTTGTTCCTGGCACTTCCAGGGATGTTCAGTCAGATAATTCGGATTCAGGTACAGGGTGTCCCACGAAACATGACAGTTGGTAAATATTTTTGAATGTCGTCTTCCATACACAGTATTAGATACTAAAGGCTGTTTCCAGTTTATTCATTTAAAAAATATTTTGCTCAAATATATTTTACTTTGAAGTTAATTTTACTGTAATATGACTCCTATATAATATTTTTATTATTGTCTTTGGTATTAAACAACTTAGCAAATTGTGGAAGAAGACATTCTAAACTATTTACCAACTGTTATGTTTCGCGGGTACTCCCTAGGTATGTGACAAACACAGTAATCCAAAATGCGCAATCTCTCACGAATTTCTCCTCCTAAACTGAAGTCAAAAACTGATACTCTGAAGTGCTAAAATGGCTTGGGCTACAAAAATGTACAAGTGAGCTTCAGTATCACATTCAACTCGTGTACATTTGAACCTGAGCTAAAGGTCCTTTGTACTGCCCCACCCGGTACACCAACTACATTGTCAGGGATCAATAAAGTTGGCCTAGCTCTGTAGGCAAGGCTAGCTGGTTCAACTAGGTTGACGCGGTCTGACTTTAGGCTGCATATAAGAGTAAATTTACTAAAGTTGACATTTTGCTTGGTATGATTAAACCAAAAGCCAAAGAGTAACAACACTGTAAAGTTAATGCTTTAACAATTTATGCATAATTTTCACAGATGTCTGAATCTCTGTGCATAGTTAATCAGTTAGAAATATGGTAAGGTTCATTCTCAAATTAATTTTTAAATATTAGGTAACGATACAGACGACCTTATTGAAGATGCTCGGAACTTTGTTAAACTCGGACAAACGTAAGAAAATTTTACTAAATCATCATGATAATACATTAACTAAGAATATCCCATACATTCAGAAAGTGGAATTAGTGATTTCAATTGTACAATACATATATATTTAAACCTTTATCAATGGAACATTGATGGAGGTACATGGTTATCCACAAAGATTGAGACTGTAAGACGATCCCTAGTTTAGATTAAGTCTTCTGACTTGAATCTGGTCTTTATATGGCTTATTTGATAATTTGATCCTTTAGGGGTAACCATGGTATCTCGTGAACTTTACTTGAATGTCAAGTAGATTATTTCCACACAAAAAAGAAAAAAAATATCTTTAATTGTCACATTTCAGAAAAAGAACACACTATCTTTTCTCATTGAAATAAAAAATGTGATGTGGGATTCTTTAAATGAGAGCTTTCATAAAAATTAGTTTAGTAAACTTGTAACACTGGATGACTGGGAGGAAATTGACTTCATGCGAAAGGAACGAAGGAGAACAAAGAAGGAACGGAGCAGAGTAGGAAGGGATGGATTCAAGGATCAGGAACAGACGACAGCTGGAGATATTGAACTTAAAAACAGGACGCAAGATAACTCAGATCCAAGTAATCCAACCCTTCCTCGAGCACTCTCCGACCTTGAGCTTGGCTCTGTTGTAAAACTTCTCTCTAGCTCAGGAATTGGAGTTCTACTGGGAGTAGTCAGGTAATCATGTCAGTTCTAGGAGAGGAGTTCTACTAGGAGTAGTTAGGTAATTTTTTCAGCTCTAGGAGAGAATTTCTACAGGGAATGCTCAGGTAATTATGTCAGCTCTAGAGGGTTTATATTGAGTAATCAGCTCTGAAAGGCAAAAGTTGTACTGAAAACGGCCTGATTTAAATATTTTTCAAAAGTTGAACTAATCGTTCTGCCAAAAGAATTCGAACCTTTGCCACAAACTCTGATATTCCAAACCCTATATTTTTGCAACCTGTTAATGTAAACCTTGGAGAAGTTGGAGATTTTATAGTCTTTATTTGGACCTTTGTTCAATATGGTTGAAAAAGCCTTGTTTATCGTCTTCCTGAAATAAATGACTCCGTCCTTCCTTCTCATAAGACTGTCTGTGACTATTTTAAAAATGGTAATCCTACTCTGCAAACCTGTAAGGTCCTCCTGTTATCTATATCGACCAGAAAGCTAAACTGCTTTGTCAGACTGCCTGAAAGTATGATACTTTCAGAGTGTGCTGGTCGATCTGGTTTGACTGGCCGAACCGTGATGGTCTCAAGGTCTACTGAGATGACCTGCAGTCCGGCCTGGCTTAAACGGTCAACCGTATTGATCTTCACCTTGAGACAAAGCTACTACTACTTACTTGTAAAGTAAGCATGGGGTGTCAAGCCATGTGTTTTGTTTCAGTGTGCATCTGGACCTCTAGTGGGTATTCAGGGCCGGTCAGCTGGGTTGACCGACCCTGTTGGTAACGCCCTTGAGGACCAGAGAGTAGAGAGGGTGTTAAATCCTCTTCTGAATCATGGAAGACGACAAACATAGGCGACTTTTTATTTTCTCCTGAAAGTACTGTAAACTTAATTTAAAGTGACCCAGCTTTCCATTATGGAAAATCACTTAAAATTGCGCTTACAGTCCCTTCACGCAATTGAGATTTTTTTTATTAATTTTTTAAAAACTTTTTAAATTTCCATATTATGATTTTTAATATTATAGATATCTTGGTTGTGATGAGGGTGAGGATAAGGTGGGAGTAGAACTAAAGATGAAACGAGGAGATTCTGATGGAACATTTAATAACAAGCAATATTTTCACTGGTATATTCAATATTCATTCACTATTTTCATGTGTCATAAAAAATAATAGGATTTTAAAGATATGACAGATAATATACAGGATTACCCACAAAGGACGAGACTGTAAAGACGACCCAAAACTCTAAAAAAGTTTTATTTTTAATTTCTGCATTCAATTGAGTAGGTTGATGGTTTACACAATGATAAAGCACAGAAATGAACAAGTTTCGGCCGAAAAGGAACCCAGAATATATAAGAACGTACTAAACAGAATATATAAGAACGTACTAAACAGAATATATAAGAACGTACTAAACAGAATATATAAGAACGTACTAAACAGAACGTACTAAACGGAATATATAAGAACGTACTAAACAGAATATATAAGAACTTACTAAACAGAATATATAAGAACGTACTAAACAGAATATATAAGAACGTTTCATCCTTTGTGGGCAAAATAGTAATCTCCGTTTGTCTGTTTGTTCGTTTGTCCGATCATAACTCAGGAGCTCCTTGATCGATTTGCCTCAAATTTAGATTTTAAAGGGAGTGTTCGGTTTAATCCGATAAATAGCGCTTTTGATCGCAACTAATCTTACTTTTATCTGTTGCGTCTATAAGGAGAAAATTGTAAAAGACGTCTCATGCCGAATAACTTAGCGCCCATGCAAATTGAGAAAATTGCAACATACGACTTAGACCGTAAAAAATCAATTTAAATTTAAACAAATCATTCAGATATTACAGCTTATAGTGATCGATTATCTTTCACCACATTTGTATATAGTTTATATTTTATAATATTTTTTAATTAATTTGTTTTGAATTTGATTATTTCTCAAGAGAAATAATCAAATTCAAAACAAATTAAAAATAAAATATTATAAAATATAAACTATATACAAATGTGGCGAACGATAATCGATGACTATAGGTTGTAATATCTGAATGATTTGTTTGAAATTAAATTGATTTATTACGGTCGTATGTCGTCGAATGTTGCAATTTTCTCAATTTGTATGGGCGCTAAGTTTAACAATTTTCTCCTTATAGACGCAACAGATCTAAAGCGCTTTTTTATCGCATTAAGCCTATACCCCCTTTCATTTTTCGCGAACACTCCCTTTAAAAATTCTTAGCTTGGTTAAAAAATGTTACTTGGGGCGGTTGACTTTTATTGAGAAGTTCAGTTTCAAATGAAAGCTAGTTTCCAAATTGAGCGCTTACAGCTGAAAATAAATCAAGAACGTTTTTGCATAGAACTATGATTGATTTCATATTTTTATGGCATTGTTTTATTTTTACTTTTACAAGAAAATAATCCGTTTTATCGTTAGCTTTCTTGTTTCACAAATAATTAATTTTTCAGCTCTTAATCATAATAGAGTTTCTTGAAACTAATTATAAATTAAAATATTTTGTTTCAGTGCTCCCGGGTTTGGAGTGTTAGTTCCTTTAAACCAGATTCTAATCGCCTGGAGACCATAGATTTATAATTAAGCGTGAAATCAAAACCAATCTAATAAATGATTGAATGTATGTACTTGCACAAACTTCCAGTAACAACGTTAATATACTTATATATTTTATGTACAATTTCAATATTTATTAAGTAGATAAATTCTATTTTATGTACAATATTAATATTTATCAGATCAAATATCCTTCTATATTTTAAGTACATATTATGGACGTTCACCAAGTCAAATAAACTGTTCTATTAACAATATTTATGTTTATCAAGTCAAATAAATTGTTTATTTTATGTACAATATTTATGTTTATCAAGTCCAATAAACTGTTCTATTTTATGTACAATATTAATGTTTATAAAGTCAAATAAACTGATCTATTTTATGTACAATATTAATGTATATCAGGTCCAATAAACTGTTCTATTTTATGTTACAATATTAATGTTTATCAGATCAAATAAGTTGTTTTTTTATGAACAATATTTATGTTTATCAAGTCATATAAACTGTTCTATTTTATGTACAATATTTATGTTTATCAAGTCAAATTAACTGTTCTATTTTAAGTACAATATTAATGTTTATCAGGTCCAATAAACTGTTCTTTTAAGTACAATGTTAATGTTTATTAGGTCAAATAAACTGTTTATTTTATGTACAATATTTATGTTTAACAAGTCAAAAAAACTGTTCTATTTTATGTACAATATAAATGTTTATCAGATCAAATAAACTGTTTATTTTATGTAAATTATTAATGTTTATCAGGTCCAAAAAACTGTTCTATTTTAAGTCCAATATTAATGTTTATCAGGTCCAATAAACTGTTCTATTTTAAGTACAATATAAATGTTTTATCAGAGTCTGAAACTAAAGAATGCGCGAATTTTAAGTTCGAGGTTAAAAGTTCTGTAAAATAATGAGTAGCTACTTAAATATTAAACTTTCTCAATTTTAAATTTGAATTTCCCGGGAAAAATCTGAATTTATCGGTAGATAAAGTATCCTTTAACTTTTTCAAAAGAACTTCACATAGAACTATTTAACCCACAGAAACAAAAAAATAAAATATAGAAGAAAATTTGGCGATATTTCGAAGGAATATTATAAAGGAATCAATATGTATACTCTAAATTAGAAAATCGTAATTAAGCGATAAAAAGTCGCCTAATCGGGTGAAAAAGTTGGATGGCACCCAATCAATAAACAACATTAATCTTAAGTAAAATTCTTGTGCCACCATGTTGAAAAAAATCTTTTTTCTGCATAGCGGAGGCTCTGTCTGCCTATCAAATATGGAAGGCTCGTGTCTGCATGGCAGAGGCTCATGGTGTCCGGGGGTTCCCTCCCTCACTCGTGACCCAACACAGCTCTTGTTACACATATATGTATACCTCGAACAACGGGATTATATCTAAATATTATTTTCTGTATCTTCTAAAAAGTAAATATCAATAGAATTAATATTAATATTTTCAATTGAATTAATATTTAACTATATGATTTTATAAATATAAAAGAATGAAACAGTTTGCAAACTGAGTATTCAACAATTACAAGGGTTTCTGTAGATAAATAAGGAAAAATCCGTTACCCTGGATTAGCCAAAGGTTTTAAGGGTAATGTTGTAAATCGGACATGCCACGCCCACTCGTCAATTAGAAGGTCAAAAAACAAGATAATTATAAAGTTTGACAATTTTTCGCTTTATCAATGAACTTTACCAAATAACAAAGCTATATTCTAAACGAGTTTGAAAATTATAAAAAAAATTCTTGAAAAGAAAATTTGAAAAGAAAATATAATGTTTTGTAACTAAATAATCATCAAACTATATTATAATTTAACGAATACATGCACAATTTAACCCACAGAAAAATGTTCTTCAATTGTTATCTAATTGTTAATCGATTTTATTGAATGAACTGAATACATTTTTGTCATGAAATTAGAGTTTTTAGACACATATTGTTGAAGTTTTGTTATAGTTTAATACAAGCCATCGGATTGTCTGGTTGTCCTGAAGCAAAGAACATGAAGATCCTAAGTTTCTGTAAGATAGAATTATGTTTATGCACAAATGTTAGAAATTATCAATTTGGGAATTGAGCCAACCGTGCAATAGCCACCGCCCCCCCCCAAAAAAAAATAAACCATGTTGAATCTTATTTTCTTGGAAATTTTATGTTCAATTCAAATTTGAAAACCATTATTTGAAATAGTAAAAATAATAACACTAAGGAAGGCCAAATTACAATCCAAAATAATAATGTCTTTTTTGAATGTTTTCGGTGTAATTCGTACTCTAACTCATTTAATTTTCATTTAAATAAATGGCTTTTTAAGGAATTGAGTCTGATGTTTTAATCCCTATATCTGTGTAACCCAATTGTCGTATACACGTTTGATATTTTAAGCTAAGAGTTTAATGATTAGATTTCAAAATAAAATGAGGTATAACACAAGTACTATTTTAAAATACTTGCTGCAGTAATTTCTCTGATATTAAATTGTCAATTCAAAATTGAGTGGAAGATTTTGAAATTTAGTTTTGATTGCATTATTTCTTAAAGAAAGGGAGTGTTTGCGAAAATTGAAAAGGGGTTTAGGTTGACGTCGAATAGAATTCGATATAGATCGCTACTAAATTTACTTCTATCTGTTGCGTCTATGAGGAGAATATGTTTTAGAACGTCCAACACCCCAATAGCGTAGCGTCCAAACAAATTCACGTAGTTGCATTTTTCGTAGATACTTCAATTAATTTTAAAAATACTCATTTAGAGATTACAACCTACAATTGTAGAATTGAATCCGTATATTGTTGATATTTCAAAATGTTTTTATTTGGTTTTTTTAATCAATATTTCGTTTACAACTTGTTTTCACGGCTGGCGTTGTATTATTTTTAGAACATTCCTGGAAAGTATGAAAATGTCGTCTTCATTATAAAAAATCCTCGAAACAGGAATAAATGTTTTCTAAAGTAACTATTAGATCATAATTTTTTTTAAAAAAGACACTATGACATATCAACTATTTACGAATACATCGAATTTAATTCGACAACTAGATAATAATATATGACAGAGTAATTAAATTTAATTGAATTACTAACGATCTGAGCGGAAAAATGGTGCTACGTGAATTTGTATGGACACTGCGCTCTTGAGTGTTTGACGTTTTTTAACATTATCTCCTCATTGACGCAACAGATAGAAGTAGCGATCAAAATCGAATTAAATTCGATATCAGCCTGTACGTTCTTTTAACTCGCGAACACTCCCTTTAAAGTCTTAATGTACAAAACCGCCGGAAGGCGGTTGGCTGATTACTAAAAGAGTCAAAAATCAATCATCATAATCATGCATTTGTATTAAACAACTAGTTTTTGCAAATTATTTAATCAAAATATGAAACTTACTAAAATGGTTGTATAGTCAAAGATTATTTCTCCCACTATTCAGTATACAGTATACACATATTTTAGATCTTGTTTTGTGTTAAGTATTAGTATTCAACCTTTAAAGAGACTGTCAGCATAATTTAAAGTAAACCATCATTTAGAATTTTTGGGTCTGTCCTAGTATACGATTTTTGGCCCCTAAAACTATTTCATCAGTGCTATTAGCTATATATCTTTGTTGTAATTAAGGGTCGTTTAAATTACATTGATAGCCTCTTTAAAGGTGTTAAGTTCTTTCCTAAAGGCATTTTCCCAAGAGCGACTTCCCAAGTGACAGTTTCCCAAGTGGAAACTTCCCAAATGTGCATTTCCCAAGCGACAACTTCCCAAAGGTTAGGTTGGCCCTCTGAGGCGCCGCAGGCTGCAATGGGGCCTAGCGCTGCGGCTAGGATGGGTTAGGGGTCGAACGCTGCGACTAGAACAGGCTGAGGACCGACCGCTGCGGCTAAGACAGAATTGGGAAGTTGCCGCTTGGGAAATTTCACATTTTGGAAGTTGTCACTTGGGAAAATACTCTTAGAAAGTTGCCTCTTGGGAAAAATCCTTTGGGAAAGTACTTAACATCTCTTTAAATATGAACATAATCAATTTGTATAGTCAAGTTTGGCGTCACATATTTAATAAGACTGGTCTGCCTGTTTTTGCTCTTCTACTTCTGCTGGAAGTCATTTCTAGGAACAGTTTTAGAATCTAATATTTTTAACATTTTCTTCCATCACCCATATTCCTGATGTGTGGTCTCAGTTTTGAAAGGTCCAGTAGGCAAAGGGTTATCTAGTAATATCCATTAAATATCCAGTTTTAATTTGCCTCTCAGAAATCATGATGAACGATTTTTTGTATGGTTTCATAGAAGGGGCTGTAAGCTCTTAATTAGAAGTAGGATACTAGGTGTCAGCCCCACCCCACCCTCAGTTTGTTTGCGCTTCACGTACATTAAACCCTCGGGGTCCTTAAAGATTGCACAAATATTTTTTTAAATTTTAAAATTAAACAGTTCTGAGAAGATTATGCTATGAATTAACAAATTTTATTTTCTTAAAAACAGTTTAAAGTTCAGTTCTTCTTAAAATCATATACAGTGAAACCCTTAATAACGAATACATCGAAAGAATTCATCAAATGTCGTATTCTTTACTTTCTGATAATGGAATGTTGCAGTTATTTAATTTTTTAATGATTATATGGAACTCTTTAAAACTGTTCCCGCATATTCATGGCTATTTTTTTATTTTCGCAAATACTGAAATTTACGTATTATAGTATAAAACTCATTGAAAAATTGTCAAGACGACATTTGATAAATTCTTCCGATGTATTCGTTATTAAGGGTTTCACTGTATCATCTTTATCCCAAAGTATTAAAGAATATTAAGTTGGTTTGATTCTACACATGTAAATATAAAGGTTACATTGAAGGTCCAGTCAACACCAAGCTTATCTTGGTGAGTAAAAACATTAATCTTCAATTAATAGAAGTATAAAAATTGATAATTAAAAACAAATTCATGGCTCTAAGAAAAGACATAGAATGCGAAAGAAACTTTAATTTTAAAGAAAAAATAGTTAGGCGGACGCATTTGTTCGCTACATTGAATTATTTTTCAACCTATAACGTAAACCACACACCAAAATCATTTAGTTGTGAATAAAACTACACTAATCACGTTTTTGTTTACTCACTCTGTAGATATTTTTGTAGACACACCCTGCAGATATTTTTGTAGACTCACCCTTTCTATATTTTTGTAGACTCACCCTTTATATATTTTTGTAGACTCACCCTTTATATATTTTTGTAGACTAACCCTTTATATATTTTTGTAGACACCCTTTATATATTTTTGTAGACACCCTTTATATATTTTTGTAGACACCCTTTATATATTTTTGTAGACACCCTTTATATATTTTTGTAGACTCATCCTGCAGATATTTTTGTTAAGGTTGCTCCTGTGCCAGACGACTATCCTCAGATTATTGTTTGTAACAACAGTAAAACAACACTAAGTACTTCACGACCTTCACAGGAATAATATTTTAATCCTTGATTAAATAAAATTCTTTATAAAGATATCAATTCTCGATTTACAACGGTATCCTTAAAACCTTGATCTGATCAAAAATGTGGAAGATACCGTCGTTTTTCTGACTAGAAAAGTTTTTTTTTTCATGACCTCCATTAATGCTTCTTAAAGGAACTGTAAAGGAAAACAATGAGCCTAAGAAACTTATGTTTGCTTCTATTATTATTTGACTTTAATAATTTTTCCTTTTAAAAAGATATAATTTATAATATAACAAATGCGTCCGTAATATGTGACCAGAACTCCCACAAAGCGGTAGTGCAGTCTCATTACCACGTGATACGGACGTATAAATAATATTATCAATTATATCTTTTATAAATGAAAGATTATTAAATTCAAATAATAATAGAAGCAAACCTAAGTTTCTTAGGCTCCCCTAGGATATCGTCGTTTTCAGATTGGTTGTGTATTTGCTGAATATGATCTGTTCAATTACTAACTATTTTATACAAAATTTTATATATATATAGATTTTCGACTAAATTTAACACAGTTTTATATCCATTTCTCGAGACAGGAACAACAGATGGAAATCTCATGGATCAACTCTTAAAATGCTGGGTTTCAGCCTATACCCCCTTTCATTTTTCCTTTACAGCCCCTTTAAAAGCAAGAAATGCACAAGATACTTCCGAGGAGAAACCGCAAATGAAAATAAACAGTTTAAAGAATCAAAAACATTGATATCTAATTCATACATGATAAAATAAAGCTTTCAAGGGTACCGTTGTAAATCAGGCATTGCCACCTTTGTATGAGGGGTCACTTTAAATTTTTCTAACAGTCCCTTTAAATAAAATATCCAAAGATTCGTGAATGAATAAAATAAGAACCAAAATCTTAAAGCAACTTTTTTCGGTTGGATTTGTCCAAGTTACATATTAAATTATAATGGTTTATGTTAATCAACTTATGTTTTGTAACGAATAGAATATTATAACAGAATGAAACTATGACTGAGTTATTGTCACTGATCAATGCTGTTTTGGTTGAATACAAAATGAACAATGGAACCTTGTAAGTAGGGTCTATTTTTAGGGGAACCAGCATGTTTTTTTTTTGTAAAAAAGAACAATCAGAGCATGCCCCGACTAAATTTGTCCTCTCAAATGTGTTACAGTTTTAATGTTATCTTTAATATATATAAAGTTATATGAACACAAACAATTAAAAAATAAACGCCGACACTGAATACTTTGTATTGTGAATAATATTAAAGACTATATAATACAAACTATACAGAGTTGGCATTTCTTCATGTAATTTAATCAAAAATATTATAGTAATAATAGAAGACAACTTGTCCGTCTCTTTATATCAAAAATGTTATAGTAATAATAGAAGACAACTTGTCCGTCTCTTTATATCAAAAATATTATAGTAATAATAGAAGACAACTTGTCCGTCTCTTTATATCAAAAATATTATAGTAATAATAGAAGACAACTTGTCCGTCTCTTCATATTAAAAATGTTATAGTAATAATAGAAGACAACTTGTTCGTCTCTTCATATTAAAAAGTTATCATATTTGAGAGGTCACAGTTTAAATTAATAAATGTTTCCGTAAAGGTTTTTATGGAGGACGCTTTTAAATGAAAGGTCGTTGATCTAAAAAAGCATCCAATTACTCCATAGTATTGTTTAGGTTTTAAAATATGATTTTAAATAAATTGTATATATCTCAGGATCAACACAAATGTTCTGCCTTTGATTGAGACAACGTCGATCTATGTGGTAAGCCATGTATAATGTATATGATAAACTAAAGAATAATCTTTTAATTAAAAATAGTATAATCATTTTATCCAACTTACTTTTTGATTCCATTATGATACTTTAAAATAATTTAATACCAACTTTACACATGGATATGAAGAACTGTTTTTTTTTATAACATATTTTTTCAGTGCAAAGTGATATATAATTTTAGGACAGGCATTTTTCTATTTATCAAGACAAATCAAGCCATTTTAGATATATAAAACATTCGATAATCCGTATTCAAATGCTTGGTCAAAAGAAGTATAAAAGGACAGGCTGAGGGGCTGAGCGCTGCGTCTATAAGAAGATATGGAATATTTACATGAAAAAAAAAACATAAAAGAAAAAGACACAGCAAAAATGACACTAGAAAAAATAAAAATGACGCTAGCAAAAAAGAAACTAACAAAAATGATACCATGTTAAATGTTAAATGTTGAAGCGACTTCCAAATCTTTTCCTGTTCTACACAATGGCCAAACCCTTTAATTATCTTAGCGTCGTCATATTCAATATTCATATAGCATAAATTCATGAACGATTAAACTTTTTAATTTACAAATTTAACGTAAAATGTTTCATATCTCATTATTTTTGAAAGAAAAAAACAACATTTCCAGCCCTGTCCTCGAAATGAAATACAATTTAGATGGAATTGTTTGAGGGTAGATATTGTTCTAAGTTTGATATCCCCCGGATCCCCCTGGATACTAGGATATTTGATCCTCTCAGTCTAGTTCTAACCCTAGGTAATAATTATCTTTCTGAATATAAGAAACTAGACTTTCCCCCATCCTTTGATTTTAACTTTTAATTGTTGCTCTTTTTTCGATTTTTTTCGTGGATGTAAAAAAAAATTTTTTTTTTCAATTCTAACAATCCATAAACCTTCCCTGCAGGTCATTTGAGGTCCAACAAAAATTTGAGCCCGATCTATTCAGCCGTGTTGACGTTTGTCGGTTACAAACAAACAGACAGACAAGCAAAGTATACATATAATAGGCTTACAGTTCACTGTGCGCCCATCTTCTTTTGCAATTGTGAACATTTTCTCTATGTATACATTGTAAAACAAAACAAAAAAAGTATAGAGAATTTTTAAAAAAATTTCGTGGATTTTCAAAACTTAATGACAATCAAATTTTGTTGGCACCTAATTTATGAAATTTTGATCATCCATAAACCTTCCCTTGGGTCATGTTAGGTCCCGTACAAAATTTTGGCCCGATCGGTTCAGCCGTTTTGACGTTTATTGGATACAAACATACAGACAGACAAGCAAAGAATATCTAGAAATATAGAAAGATCTTGCAATTAAACAATAATTCTGCACAAACGTTTGACAACCACATACGTTTTTTAAATAAAAGTTAATGTAGAACTTTAAAACGAACATCCATATACATTATACAAATATCTAATCATAATAGTTTGATTAATTTCTCCATAATTATTTTTATATTGTAGTAAAGACGGCAGATACAAACACGAAGCTGGGTGTTTATTTGACGGAAAAAAATCGTTACTTGCTCCGGCTCAGTGAGAATTCAGTATTAGAACCAATAGAAGTGACCAACAGCGATATCTTTTATAGTCTTCAGATCAACAGAGTCAAAAGATTACCCAGAGATTCTAAACTTGCAACTTTGCAGAAAATATTTAGTAAGTAGTTCAAGTTTTATCTGAGCTGTACTGGAAGTTAATATTTAGTAAGTATAGTTTTATCTGAGCTGTACTGGAAGTTAATATTTAGTAAGTATAGTTCAAGTTTTATCTGAGCTGTACTGGAAGTTAATATTTAGTAAGTATAGTTTTATCTGAGCTGTACTGGAAGTTCATATTTACTAAGTATAGTTTTATCTGAGCTGTACTGGAAGTTAATATTTAGTAAGTATAGTTCAAGTTTTATCTGAGCTGTACTGGAAGTTAATATTCAGTAAGTATAGTTTTATCTGAGCTGTACTGGAAGTTACTATTTTGTAAGTTGTTCAAGTTTTATCTGAGCTGTACTGGAAGTTAATATTCAGTAAGTATAGTTTTATCTGATCTGTACTGGAAGTTAATATTTAGTAAGTATAGTTTTATCTGATCTGTACTGGAAGTTAATATTTAGTAAGTATAGTTTTATCTGAGCTGTACTGGAAGTTAATATTTAGTAAGTATAGTTTTATCTGATCTGTACTGGAAGCTAATATTTAGTAAGTATAGTTTTATCTGAGCTGTACTGGAAGTTTATTGTTGGATACTCATAATCCCGATATCCACTGTACTAACTATACCTTTCCTTGTTGGATACTCATAATTCCGATATCCACTGTACTAACAATACCTTTCCATGTTTTCATTTTAGTTATTTCTTCCCTGATCAAAGATCCCTTTAACCCCTGACAGGGGGCGATTACCATGTAGGATATCGAAGAAAGATTAAATTAATCTGCAGATTAAGTAAAGGTCGAGATCAAGCATTGATTTCGATATCCACAATACATACAGGGTTACCCACAAAGGACAAGACTTCAGAGACGATTGTACAGAATTTATACTGTCTGTTTCCTTGTTCCTTTTTACTTAATCATGAAATAAGCCATAAAAAAGATTGTATTCAAGGCAGAAGACTTAAGTTAACCTCGGAATCGTCAAATTTAAAGAGTTTCAGGTCGTCTTTACAGTCACATCCTTTGTGAGTAGCCCTGTACAAGAGTTCCCAGCTCAGATATAAGAAAAATAAATACTCAAACTTTAATTTCTCTTTACCATAATCTCAAATTGGATTTGTAAAAATATTTTAGGATTGAATCAGAGAGAAGACTGTGATTCCTTCGAGGATATAGATATTGATGAAGGAATAATTTCTTTTCGGAAAACTCAACTTGAGAATAGATTCAACTGCAACATTCTTGCTGACAAAAACAGTAATATTATTAACTTTAGCATTTTCTAAATTATTGATGAAGAAAATTTCTTGCTGAAAGGGATAATTAACTTGATTATTCGTAAGCCTCTACGAACCATCGTAAGGAACTAATTACTCCATTTAAACTGTAATTTTCTAATCCTTTTAAACCAGCAACCTAATGTCGTAGAACTTTGATATTTCCATGAATTCTGCAAGATTAATTATCAAAGTATTACACAATCAGGTTGCAAAGATATAGGGATTAGAAAATTGTGGCGAGTGTTCAGTTCCTTTGTAAATTGAGCTTGAATTCTTATTCTAAAAATTAAGGTGATCTGGAAAACTGCTCAAAAATTGACTCAACACTGTTTGAAAAAATCTATTTTGAAATTTCTCAAGAATTGAATCCAACCTACCTGCAACCCTGCACATCCATGAAATTTTACTCCAGGTAAAAACACCAGTACATAGAACCAGAGTTTGATTTATGAAAAATAAAATTGCTATTTTTGTAAAAACTCAATTTATTTAAAAAATAAAAGATTTTGCTATCTCAGGAATGTTACAAATTTTACATTTGGTAAAATTTTACTTGCGAATACATTTGTTTTGATCAAATACACGGACAAAATTTTTGAAAAAATTTTAAGATTTACTTCTTTTTAATCGCAATAAAATGTTCATTATGAACGAGTGCGTCTAGTTTCCCAGACATTTTGTGATCAGAGACGAAAACTTTTGTGATAAGAGAAGAACACTTTTGTGATTAGAGAAGAAAACTTTTGTGATAAGAGAAGAAAACTTTTGTGATTAGAGAAGAAAACTTTTGTGATCAGTGAAGAAAACTTTTGTGATCAGAGAAGAAAACTTTTGTGATGGATTCCTCGGCTTAGGTTCTTTATCAGTTCATACCCTGTGATTTTGCCAAGGCAAAAGATGTTCATTACTGGCACGGCTTTGTGAACTCGTAGCTTCTCTAGTTTAAATTTCACAAGTTTATTTGGTTTCATATCAGACAAACATTTTTCTTCTTTTCATATCTCTTAAATAATATAATCGAAAACATGTAAGATATCAACCTAACGTTAAATTTACCTTAATTTGACGACGTGCAATAACTGAACACTATTGTATCTATGTACACAGCGGAAAGTGATTAATCTTTGAAAAAACAGCTGATCTATGTTTCCAGCATAGATATATTTGTTTCAAATTACAAATTGATTTTATTTTATTTGATATTTTCTTTTAAATATCAGCTTTGAAATATTTTTAAAGTAATAAAGTAAATTCTTTGGACTTTTTGTAATATAATGTAATATTATGGCTAGCTCGATAAGAAACTTTGAGAAAAAACGATTTAAATAAAAAAAATCTTAGTTAGTAATATCTTAAAGGGACCGGTCACTCATTTGGGTAATTTCATGGTAACCTATAATTAGCCTATTAGCAATTTATTGAAATTAGTCTTACTTTTTAAAGATATCTATGACCGGAAAAAAGACGATTTACCTAATTACCTAAATAAGTGAACGGTCCCTTTAAGCATTAATATGAATCAAAATGGCAGAATTTCATCATTTTATAATTTTGTGTTTTTTGTTTGTTTCAGCTCATCTGCTCTGATAGTTCCTACGAATGGCAAGGAACTTCCATCTTTGAGTATTATATTCCCTAGAACTATACTTAGGTAATATTTCCTAGGACTATACTCAGGTTTATTTCCTAGGACTATACTCAGGTTTATTTCCTAGGACTATACTCAGGTTTATTTCCTAGGACTATGCTAAGGTAATATTTCCTAGGACTATACTCATGTTTATTTCCTAGGACTATGCTAAGGTAATATTTCCTAGGACTTTACTCAGGTTTATTTCCTAGGGCTATGCTAAGGTAATATTTCCTAGGACTATACTCAGGTTTATTTCCTAGGACTATGCTAAGGTAATATTTTCTAGGAAGATCTGGTATATTAACTAGGCTATGCTATTGCTCAGGTAATATTTCCTTGGACTATTCTCAGTTTTTTTTCTTAGGACTATACTCAAGTTATATTTCCGGCGCTATGTCATTTGTCCTACAATCATTTGTCCTAAAAATCATTTGTCCTACACATCATTTGTCCTACAGGGCGGAGAAAACTTAATTTGTCTTCCACATCATTTGTCCTTCACATAATCTGTCCTACACATCATTTTATCCTACAGAGAGGAGATAACATAATTTGTCCTGCACTTTATTTGTCCTGCACTTAATTTGTCCTACACACCATTTGTTCTACACACCATTTGTCCTACACCTCATTTGTACTTCACACACAATTTGTCCCACACCTCATTTGTCCTACACACCATTTGTCCTACACACCATTGGTCCTACACCTCATTTGTACTTCACACACCATTTGTCCCACACCTCATTTGTCCTGCACACCATTTCCATTTGTCCTACAGAGAGGAGATACCATCAATTTTCCTACACATAATTTTTTCTACACTTCTTTTGTACTCATACACATCAATTTTCCTACAGAGAGAGAGAAACATCATTCGTCAAGTTGTCCTACAATTTAATTGCACTCTACATTATTTGTCTTACAGAGAGGGGATAAAATAATTTGTCCTGAAATTTGTTCTAAAGTAATGTTTAAAAAGTTGAATTTAACTTCTTTTAATATGTTAAATGATATACTGTCATCTCATCCTATTTTGGGTTAGAACGGCTTAAGACAATTTCTGGACCAAGCGCTGCGGCTAGAATAGGCTAGGGGGCCGAGCGCTGCGGCCTCTTAAATGTTAAATAATATGCTGTCTCTCACCTTATTTTGAGTTAGGGTAGGTTAAGAAAATTTCTGGACCAAGCGCTGCGGCTAGAATAGGCTAGGGGGTCGAGCGCTGCGGCCTCTTAAATGTTAAATAATATGCTGTCTCTCACCTTATTTTGAGTTAGGGTAGGTTAAGACAATTTCTGGCCAAGCGCTGTGGCTAGGATGAGCTAGGGGGCCGAGCGCTGCGGTATCTTGAATATTAAATAATATGCTGTCTGTTTTGAGTTAGGTTAGGTTAAGACAATTTCTGGGCCGAGCTCTTCTGCTAGGATGGGCTCTGGGTGCCGAGCGCTGCGGCCTTTTAAATGTTAAAAAATGTGGTGTCTCTAAAAAAAATTGCCCCTTTGTCTCACTTTTTGACCCTATGTCGTTTTACCCTTTGTAGGACCAATACTTTGTAGGACCAATGATATTTAGGACAAAGGATGTGTAGGAAAAATTATTTGTAAGACAAATGATTGTAGGACAAATGACATAGCGCCTATATTTCCTATGACTGTACTGAGGTAATATTTACTAGGACTATATTCCGGTAATATTTCCTAGGATTATACTTAGGTAATATTTACTAGGACTATATTCCGGTAATATTTCCCAGGATTATACTTAGGTAATAGCGACTAATTAAACATAAATTTTCAGATTTTTCTCTTTTTATTTATTTTTGTTGGCGGATTATTTTTAATGAAAAGGTTGTAAAAGACATCTCTGTTGTTGAATTAAAAACTCGATGAATTCGAATGTAGCATACTAAAGACTCATATAACCCGGGTCTATCAAGGGAGCCTTGTCAGGTTTTCTGAGATTTTTAAAGTTAAAATTTTGACAAATTCGACTTTTCTGCAGGACTTTCAGCTTGACATTTTAAAAAGTTTTGCCTCATTCACTTGTTCCAGCGGAAATAGTTCATTACCTCATATAGGGTATCGATCATGTAGAGAAAGTAGAAGTGATTCAAATTAAAATATTTGTGAATTAAAATATTTGTGAATTTAGGCAAACGGAGGAGATAAAAATTACTTTTCTTGATTTCCTGGTCAGTCTTGGTAAGCATAACACTACTTGTGCACTAAGGGTGGTTCACGTCAACAGTTTTGTTTTTTTAGATTGATGTTTTTTAAGAATTACAAAATGTCAGATTTTTTTCTTTTCTTTACGATATTTCCTTATTTTCTCAGGTTTGAAAAGGTTTGAATCGATTTTACGTCCTATAATATAGTCAAAATAACAATATACATTTACAAGATGTTTAATCATGGATGTGGGCGAAGGGTTTATTCTAAAAACTTATAGTGAAATTAAATTGTTCACTTTTCGGTCTATCCTTTAACCCAGAAAACATCCCTTTCACAGGCAAAAGAATATTTGCCTCAAAATATACTTTTCTTATCTAATCTTTGCAACCTGAAGATTTAGGCCTTTGTCATTTTAAACTATGAATTCTTTTGGATCTAATAGTCAAATATTAAATTACAAAAGGGTTGCAAAGACATAAGATTTAGAAAATTACAGTTTGAGACAATTTTTAAAATTAATAATTCAAACTTCTATTGAAAACTTGAAAATTGAGAAATTTTTTTTTGTGATTTTCGGGATCGAGAATTGATATCCATCTTCAGATCTACGGATAAATTAATTCAATTTTTTTTCTATTTATCTTTAGCTTTAAACGTGCCCACAGTGGATATCGAGATCAAACTACAAACATTAACGACACTCCATGCACTAAAGTTCCAACCTTTCATTATATCATAAAGATGCTTCTCGAGAATACAATAATATCAGAATAAATTCTAACAAATATTTTTTTAACATTTCAGGAGGATTTCTTGGTTTGTTTGTTGGGAAATCCTTGTTAGATCTGGAGAGGATTGCAGGAATATTCTTCAGCCTATCAAGGAAACTATTCAAAATTTAAATTATGAAAAATTTATGAATATTATTCGTCCAAGATTATATATTTGACTTTTCTACGTGTAATAAATGTTAATTGTGAAATTTGTTAAAAGTTTTTGATTTTTTTTAACAATAGTTTATAAATAATTAGATGCTAGCAGATGCAAATATTTTGACATTTCTGTATTTCTTGTTCTCCCCACTTTTCTTTTTCGAACATCTTTTAACATATTTTGGCTAATTTTGGAAAAAAAGATTTTTTTGGGACATTACAGCAGTTGCCGGGCTGCTAGATTAGAACTAGGTTGAGAGGCTCCTGCTTTCCTTTTTTTCTGAGTTTTGTTTGTTTACACATGTTAGTGTATGATTCGGTGTGCTTTTTTTAGCTGACTCATTACTGATTCAGTTAATGGATTTATTGCTTTAACCAGGAATGCTGACACAGTTGATAAGGCTGCTGTCACCATTAATTATATTTCCGGACTGGGGCATTTTCTACGTTTTGAGTCCTCTCCAGGTAGTTCTTGTGACATCGAGTTGCGGAGCAGGAAGGAAAGTTTAGAGGAGAAAGGGTATGATGCGAGAGATGTTGACAGCCGCCACGCTGTCCTCCTACATCCGTCAGGTGGTCATAACTGCTTAACCAGATGTTAGCTTCAGATGATTTTGAAAGCACTGGTTATAAAACTTATGCAGTTTTAGCTGGAAGCTTCCCTCTTGAAAAGTCTCCCATTTTCCGTATTCTCTGAAAAATAAAATTTAAATGAAATGTAAAAGTCGCCGACGGTGGTCGATGTGGAAGTGAGCTTCTCAGGGCTCACCAGGACCGAGCTGAACTCGGTGCCGCGCTCTACTCGTCTACAGCGCCCTCTCTTTCTTCAGCCGCGTTCGTACTCGTACCAGGCGCGTTTTAAAGTTCAAAAGGGAATATACCTGACAATTTTAGATGAAGCTTATGTATCAAAAATTGCTGTACTAAGAGAAACGAATTTGCGGGATTGTAATCCGGCCGGCGCAGAGGGTTTGTGAGGAGTGCCGGTCTGGATACCAATCCAGTTACTGGCTGCGGACAAGTGTGCTTAACTTCAGTGATATATCGAGAACTGGTGCTACACACTAGCAACCCCAAAAAAGAGAGATGTTTCAATATAATCTACATTGGCAGTCATTGCATTATTTTGCACTACTGTTTGCAAGACAGAAATGTTGATCTCAGAAAAGTTCTGTTATTTTCAATGCCTTAAAACCCTGGTAGAACCGTTAATTTCATAAGGAAAATTATAAAAGTTTGAACTTGCTCCTGGTTCAACCTTACTCCAGGGCTTGCAGGTTAAACCTTACTCTGCATTTTTGGTTTAATCTTACTCCGGTAACTAAAAACTAGAAACAAGCAAGCCCACCTAACCAGAGTAGGTTGTTTCAATTGGTTGGTCCATCATAAGCGAATGGGAATTGTTAAAAAAAATACATGGTTGTACACTGTTCAGTTTACATTTTATACATAATAATGGATGCAACAGGAAAAAGGTAAGTAGGTGTATAAGAAAAGTTAGGGTACTCAGCGGAAGGGTTGGAACAGAGGGTAACCTATGTTATAAAAATTATGTTTATGTACCCAAGGATGAAGAAGAAAGTAAAAACTAAGTTTTTCCACATGATACACAGTTTTTTTAAAGATACAACCTAAATAGATCTTGCGACTTTTCTTTTAAACGACTTTTCAGATTTAGTTTCTTCAGGCTCTAATTCAATCAAATTCAATATTTTTGGAAATTGTAGTATTTAAAGCATGGTGTAATATTTAGAAGCATGACCCGATGCAAAAACCCTCAACCCTTTGTATGACTCTACGTTATTAGAGAACCTGGAGAATAGGATCAGTACACTCCAGGATCTTAGACAGGATAGACGCTTGAGCCTTGGCTCCCGTTTATCCCCTTTAAGGCCTGGGGACTTATACTTCATTGACAGCTCTCAGGATGATATAGCTTATCAGGACTACCAGAGGTTGGCCAGCCTTATTTTCATCATCTACTCTAAATGCTCGCAACCAGAGTATCAGAGACTATTCCGAGCTACAGCTAGTTCAACTACTCTAGATACTTGCAACCAGAGTATCAGACTATTCCGAGCTACATCTAGTTCAACTACTCTAGATACTTGCAACCTGAGTATCAGAGATTCTTCCGAGCTACAGCTAGTTCAACTACTCTAGATACTCGCAACCAGAGTATCAGAGACTCTTACAATCTACAGCTAGTTCAACTACTCTAGATGCTCGCAACCAGAGTATCAGAGACTCTTCCGAGCAACAGCTAGCTCAACTACTCTACATACTCACAACCAGGGTGTCAGATATTCTTCCGAGCTACAGGAAGTTCAACTACTCTAGACACTCACAGCCAGAGTATCAGAGACTCTTCCGAGCTACAGCTAGTTCAACTACTCTAGATACTCGGAACTAGAGCATCAGAGACTCTTCTGATCTACAGCTAGTTCAACTGCTCTTGGTACTTGAGTTGGGCCACTGGAGATATAGAGCAAGTACAGATCTAGAACAATGAGGTTATACTCCAGTCCAGCTAGTTCAACTACTCTCTACCGACCCGTCTGACCTACCCATTGGAATTTTCTGGATATAGAGGAGAACCAGGATATTAAATATATCAGATACTGCCTATAACACCTGAGATTGGAGATGCTGATCTTTACAGACAGCTCTCCACATATCTGGAGCAGCTAGAAGATCTAGTCAGACTTAGGACTCCGGGAGCAGAAGCTAGACCTGTTGTTGAACCAATAGTAGAACCAGAGGATTCTGTGAAGGAAGACGCCACTCATTTGGGAACAGATCTCCACAGATCTATTCTAGATTATAACAATGATGACAACAATGATAATAACAACGAGGATCTATGAGGATGGGATATCTAGATATGAATGAGATAATCCAGTTTACCAGGTTTGGTCCATCACCATCACCGAATTTTAAATCAGATGCTATACCATCCTGTGATTGGAGACGTTGCTCTTTGTAGACAGCTGTTCACACATCTTGATGATCCAGTCAGGAATAGGAGATTCACTCAATCTCATCAAGAGATTTATATCCTTTAGTTTCTGGGACTGGACTAATTCCTCTTGTACCAGCCCGTCTAAAATACCTATAAGGATATAGGAGAGAACTCTGATATCCAGGATAAAGAGAGGAACTAGAAGCTCTAGGATACCGAGGGGAACTAGGATATAAGGAACAAGAATGTCTAGGATACGGATTGGTGAGCTAAGACCAAAGGCTAAGGCGTTGCGACACTTCAATGTCGACCCGGTAAAAAAATTGAGTCTATAACTTTTCCAGCTCTCTGGATCTCTATGGGTTTTATCCTAATCCAATTCCTTGGTTTAACCTTAACCTGAGTTCAATTATATTCGGGGTTCTTAGGTTCAATCGTGTACCTAGAGCTAAAACCATAGATAAAAACTCTGTCCCCTCCCTTCCACCCCATCCCTCAATTACGTACGTATTTCGTTTTTCATATTTATTTACAAAATTGTGATTGTTAATTAGATATATTTAGATATCACTCCTGTATGCCGAGTCCATTAGTGCCTGATCCAATCAGGGTTGATTCATGTGTTTGTTGTCTATTCTGAACCAATAGAAATAGTATGGCGGTAACTTCTATCTTTCTAGCTATCTCATTATCCAATCAGAGTTATGAATCCTTCAATCGTCGCTATCAGTAAATGGAAATTTTTACTTCTACTGAAACTTTAGTGATATAAACCATGCCAGATAAACTCTTCCTAACTTTGTGTTTAGATCGATATATCGAACATTCTTTTAGAATTTAACTTTAAGACTTTTTAGTTAAACCAAAGACAGTATAAATTTTATAATAGCTTACCACAAATGAATTGACATTTTAGGAAGATTTTTTTCATCTGTTTTTTTAAAGAAGCTTTACAACTTTGAGAAATTTAACGTAAAGTGAAATTTTAAAGTTCTATTTTTTTTACACTCGAATATTCCGGTTTCCAGGCATGCTACACTGTATATAATTAATCCCTGTTATTATCAGAGCATTTATTATATTTAATTGAAAACCAATATTTATGCATAGCACTCAATTAAATACTAAATAATTACTCGATATTTCTTAGTATTACCGGTTAAATGTTTACTTAAGTTTAAAGCATGACCAAAAATAAAATATGGAATGTTTGTACTAAAGGTTGTCCAATTTTCCAATTTAGTTCTCAAGGCTCAAACCATGAAGAATTAAACAGATCATGGAACAGTAAACATTAACATTCCTGATGAATTCTGAGGAATCGAGTCTTCGTCATAAAATGAAAAAATAAAAATAATCTAATTCATTTTTCTTTGCAACATAATGGTGTAAACTTTTGATATTTCAACTTATATTTTATTATGTAACAGACTATAACTGGGTTCACATGACGGGCTGGTACGAGTTTGGGCTTCTGCCGCTGGGTTTTTGTGAACGAAAAACCCCTAATATTGAAAAGACGGCATCTATTGTTCTATCTGTGTTGTTATTAATCTATGAATATAATATTGAAAACTAATGGTAACAACTTATTCTCAAAACTAGACCCTAGTCCAGTCTAGAGAAACCAAGCAGTCCGATACAAACAATTAATTAATTACCACAGAAAAGGGTTTACAACAAACCATTACGTTTTTATGATTAAATATAAGAATTAAAAAGGGCACCACTCGTGTATTCTACTTTTCTAATTTTCCCCCAACTAAATTATTTTGAGTTTGTCCTTGAGGTTAAATCAATTAACAAAACCAAAATTGGCGTCAGAATTTTATTTTATTAATGAGGGTTGACTTTAAAGTAATTGAACGCTGCAAATACACTTTAAAAGGACTTAACAGTCCTCCACACCCAACAAATTTTTAAATGAGTTATAAATTGTAAAAAGTATATTCGTCGGAATAATTTAAAAATTCCTTATCTTTAATTTTGAAAAAGATTATATGTGTTACATATTTATGCATATTTTTTAAAAATTTTAGCTATGCAGAGCTGGGAACTTTAGAATGGGATACCTTTAGTCCCGAGTGCTTAATCCGAATATCCAATGTGGACACTTTTGATTTCTTGCTTAATCCACTCTTTTTTTGGATATAGTACAGATAAATCAAAAAACGGTTTATCAAAATTAGAGAGTCCCTCCCGTTTCTGTATATATTAATCTTAAATGGCGCGCAAAATTTCAAATTTCCCGGCTTCTGATACGCGACTCTGATTGGTTCAATTTTATACACTTTTCAGGATACAAGTAAAAGATTAGGTTAGTCTCGAAATTAAGAAAAAGAGAGGATCAAGCATTGATCTCGATATCCACCATTCTAAAGTTCCCAGCTCTGATAAAATATTTTTTAAAGGAAATAACCGGCAAGAAGGATAATAAAATAATGAGAATTTATTTGATAACAAGAAGATGTTTCACGTTGTATAACTGCTAAGAGAACAAACCCGTTCTTCAAAATATCACGAGGCCGAATAATCTTGGGCAACAAGAAAGTTTTTTTTTACAATTATTTAATATGTAAAACTAATTACACTGAAGAAAAAATGTTAGACAAATTCTTCTATTTACTTATGTCAAGTTTAAGAATAGGTTGAGGTTTAGGTTATCTTCTGTAAAGGATATTTTAGATTTGTTCAATCATCAACTTTTCTTAAAAACAGTAGGGCCAAAAAAAACTATACCAAGGTAGACATATTAGTATTTATTTTAGACTATCAACATAATTTCACGGGACTCCCCAATTAAGGTGTTAAATGTAAGATTCACAACGGTACCCTTTCATCAGACAAAGGTTTAACCAGTCCGTTTTGAATCCAGCATGAAATTCTTAAATATATATTTTAAACTGCAGCTCAGATAAGAAAAATTACAGAAAAGATGAATCTTAGAGGTGCAGGTAACCGTAAGAATATTATCATAAATGGGAAAAATATCCCGTCTTCGTTTATTCTTTTAATCTTTTGTTATAACTGCAGATATATATATATATATAATGGGTAAACCCTTCATAGACACTTTCCTGTATACGCCCCTGCGTAACTGTTAAAACTTTAAAAAGCTGCGTTAATGATTTTGAGTTCATAGCAAAACAGATTTTTTAGTTCCTCGTGTCCTAAAGATAATAATTAAGATTTCTTGTTTTAGTTCCATGTGTTCTAGAGATAATAATCAAGATTGCTTGTTTTAGTTCCACGTGTCCTAAAGATAATAATTAAGATTGCTTGTTTTAGTTACACGTGTTCTAGAGATAATAATCAAGATTGCTTGTTTTAGTTCCACGTGTTCTAGAGATAATAATCAAGATTGCTTGTTTTAGTTCCACGTATTTTAGAGATAATAATGAAGATTACTTGTTTTAGTTCCACGTGTACTAGAGATAATAATCAAGATTGCTTGTTTTAGTTCCACGTGTTCTAGAGATAATAATCAAGATTGCTTGTTTTAGTTCCACGTATTTTAGAGATAATAATGAAGATTACTTGTTTTAGTTCCACGTGTACTAGAGATAATAATCAAGATTGCTTGTTTTAGTTCCACGTGTTCTAGAGATAATAATCAAGATTGCTTGTTTTAGTTCCACGTGTGCTAAAGATAATAACCAAGATTGCTTGTTTTAGTTTCACGTGTTTTAGAGATAATAATCAAGATTGCTTGTTTTAGTTCCACGTGTCCTAGAGATAATAATCAAGATTGCTTGTTATGCTGCTTTCCTGTATTTTCTCATCAAAGCACTCTTAGGCAAAAGCCATTTATCAAGAACAATTTAATTTAAGTTTTAATTTATTGCGTAAGATAAATAGCTTTTGAGTGATATAAAAATAAGATTATATTCAGGTTTTTTTATTTGAACTTTACTAATAAAATGGTCTGGTTAGACTTCATACAGCGTCCTACCAACAAAATTCTAATTCTGGAATGAAACCCATTTTTATTAAATATCAATTTGATGTAAACTACAGGGTTATCCAAAAAGGATGAGACTTTAAATACGACCTAAAACTCTTTGCATATTGTGATTTAAAGGTTGAATGTTTTTTTGCTTATAAAGTCTTTGAGTGTTATATTAAATGATTTGGCAGAGAAAGAAACCATTTCTTTCAGCTGCAGAGAACAGTGTAAATACATTTTCAACAGTCGTCTCTGAATTCTCATCCTTTTTGGGTAACCCTCTATATTAATGACTAGGAATTCCTTATAAAGTAATTTAAAAATGTCTAATGTTCAGTAATCTTTGGAGGATTTTTGAATATTCACTTTTTACAACCTAAATATTCCTAAATAGGTTAACTGTCTTCATTCAATGTTCAAAAACAGTCTGTTTACAAACTGGGTTATATATATACTATGGCCAGGCTCCGCCATTGTTCCAGGACTATCCTCAGATTGCAGTTTGTGATCTAGATAAGAACCTGACCAGCTTCAAGAAACCTACTAAGGCACAATCATGATTAAACTTTCCAATATTCTTTACTTGTTTGTTTGTATACAATTCACGTTATAACAGCTGAATTGATCGGCCCAAATTTTGTGTGGGACCTAACATGACTCATGGAAGGTTTATGGATGGCCAGAAAAAATCTTTGCTTTTCAAACATTTACAAAATTTGGCAAAACTCCGAAAAATAAATCGGAAATTTTTTTTTCTTGTTTTATAAATATAATGGACAAAGAGAAAATGCTCTCAGATAGAGCTGCAGACTGTAACAAACTTTAATTTGAAACAATTGCTGAACCACGTAAAGTTTCCCCAAAGTTAATTCACAGAGTAGTTTTCCAGAAAGAAAGAAAGCGATTAATAAACTTCGAGACATGGTTTTTAGACTTATACATTGTAGGCTACAATTTGGCAAAAATTCTAAACTTTATAGAAAAGGTTTCATCTATAAAAAAAGTCAAAACGGGATCACCCTTACTAAGGAAATGTAGAAATTTAATGGTTCTTTAGTTTTAAAATAGATATCTCTGTAGAATTCAGAAAAATGTCATTTTCCGATTTTTTCATCGTTATTTATTTATTTTGAAAACTCTTCTTTTGCTTTGATATAAACAAATGCCCTTGACGAAAAAATTGTACATTATTAAGTTTGCAAAAAAAGTAATGTTCAAAACTTCTCAATCTAAAAACTTGGCCCAGTTTTGATATTTGAGCGGCAAACTTCTAGAACTTTTTAAAAATTGTGTTAAAATATTTGAAATGAAAATAGCCTTAATATCGTCTTAAGATGGTGGTATTTTTTATTACCCCGTAAAATATATAAGAAATTTTTATTGTAAAGCGATAAAAATGTCAAGGACTTAATTATGATTATCAAGGCCTTCACAGAAAACCTACCATAATAAAACATTTTTAAGAATTGTTGATTCATTGATTAATTTAAATAACAGAAAGGACACTAGATTATTATTCTACTTAGTTTAGTTAGAAACAATAGTCCAAAATATCACGAAATATCGCGAACTGAAATTTTCTAATCCCTAAATCATTTCAACCTGATGGTGTAAGTCTTTGATATTTCAATGGAATTCATATTTTCTGTTACCATGGTTTGCAAAGATATAGGATTAAAAAATAAGAGTTTGTGGCAAAGATTTAATTCGTATATGTGGATAGAAGTTACAAAAGAATTAAATTTTATTAATTTTAGTTGTTTTCACATATCAAGTATCACTCCTGTAGCTGTATGCCGAGTTCATTAGCGCCTGATCCAATCAGGGTTCAGTCATGTGTTGTCTATTCTGAACCAATAGAAATATTATGGCGGTAACTCCTATCTTTCTATCTATCTCATTATCCAATCAGAGTTATGAATCCTTCAATTGGCGCTATCAGTAAATGGAAATATTTACTTCTACTGAAACTATAGTGATATAGCTGAGTTCTTATTACCTGTGCGGATTCTTTACTGTCTGTTTTCTTATACTCTTGATTCCTGCTAATTTTAAACTTGTTAATTCGATTCCTTTTCAAAATTATGAAATAAGTCATTAAAAGATTACATTCAATGCAGAAGACTCAATTTAGTCTGTGATCGTTAAACTTTAAGAGATTCATGTCGTCTTTACAGTCTCATCTTTAGTAACTGTGCACCTTATTTAGAAGACATTTGATATTATTCTATCAGATAATCCATTAGGTAGCAAAGATATAGGAATTAGAAAATTAGAGTTTTAGATAAGTGATCAATTCCTTAGTTAAAATCGTGATTTTTACTGATACTCAAGGAAGCTATGAAACTAGAGTTAAATAATCTTTTATCATTCATAAAAGTGTCATACAAAATGAAAAATGGGACCAAGTAAGAACATTTTTGAATTTTAATTAAATTTTTTGTTATTTGTTTTCTTCTCAAAATATATTTTTGTTATTTGTTTTCTTCTCAAAATATATTTTTTTCATTTGTTTTCTTCTCAAAATATATTTTTGCAGGAAAACAACTGATGTTACAGCTATGGTAGACGTGGACAATGTTCTTGTTGTAAGATTTTTTTATATATAAATAAATATGTTTATGAAATAATTTATATAAATATAAAGGAGAATGTATACTGTCCTGTGTTTTCTATTCCTCAAATACCTCTGGATCCAAAGATTTATGACCCACTAAGCTTAACATTAGAACTTGGTAAGTAGGTAAGTCAGTAAGTAATCAAGTAAGTAAGTAAGCAAGTAAGTAAGCAAGTAAGTAAGTTAGTAAGACAGTAAACAAGTAAGTAAGTAAGTAAGTAAGTAAGTAAGTAAGTAAGTAAGTTAGTAAGTAAGTAAGTAATTAGTAAAGCAAATTAAAAAGTAAGTAAGTAAGTAAGTAAGTAAGTAAGTAAGTAAGTAAGTTAGTAAGTAAGTAAGTAATTAGTAAAGCAAATTAAAAAGTAAGTAAGTAATTAATTAATTAATTAATTAATTAATTAAGTGAGTAAGTAATTAAGTGCGTAAGTAAGTAAATAAGTAAGTAAGTAAGTAAGTAAGAAAGGTAGTGAGTAAGTAAGTAAGTAGGATACATTTTCTCTTTATTACTAATTAAAAAATAAAAAAATTATCCAATTTCTATTTTTTAGTGAAGAAAACGTTAGTCCCTGATGAAATCTACATTTACATTTATGAAAAAGAAAAGTTTTTGCTTCATTCGAATGAAAATGAGATAAGTCCTTTGATCTACATGAATACAATCACAGCTCTGGTCTCCAACCTGGAGATGAGCAAGATTACTGCAGTACCTAGAGATCGCACCCTCTCAACATTTCAGACACTTTTAGGTAAACATATATATAGGTAAACATATATTAGAATTGGAATTTTATTTAAAAAGTTCCCGAGTTTATTCCGATACAGCCCGGAAATATATAGCTAGTTTAGGTAAACATATATTGGAATTGGAATTTTATTTTAAAAGTTCCCGAGTTTATTCCGATACAGCCCGGAAATATATAGCTAGTTTAGGTAAACATATATTGGAATTGGAATTTTATTTAAAAAGTTCCCGAGTTTATTCCGATACAGCCCGGAAATATATAGCTAGTTTAGAGTCTTTGTGGCGGAGAACCAAAAACGATCGTTTTTAAGGGACTGTAAGGGAGTGTAAGCATAATTTAAGGGACTGTAAGCATAATTTAAGGGAGTGTAAGCATAATTTAAGGGACTGTAAGCATTGTAAGCATAATTTAAGGGACTGTAAGCGTAATTTCAAGTAATTCTCCATGCAAAGATGGCAATACCTGATTTACAACCGTACCATTAAAAGCCTTGTCTGATCAAGAATGAATTAGATCTCAATGTTTGTGTTTCTTTCAACACTTTATTTTCATCGGCGGGTTCTTCGTGAAAATAAATTGCGCGCACATCTTTCAGTTCCTTCAACACGTTTGTTTTTGGAACGTTTTTGGTTCACTTTTAGCATATATTTGCTGTAATGATCGAAATTGACATAGTGTCATAAGAACAAATGTTTATAATTCAAAAACATTTGATTTTCTAATTTTGATCAGCCATTAAACTTCCCTGGGGTCGCGTAAATTACCACAAAAAAACAGTTGGCCTTATGATCGAAAGCTTTATTTGGGGAGTTTTGTTAATCTTTATCGCTGGATCTCGTTATCCGATGAGGGCACTTTGATTTTGAGAATCAAATTTTTTATCTATTAATTAAAGATATCCAGGCAGGACATGACCACCACGGGATTTCGAATAAGAATTAGATACTAATCCGTAAATCTGAATATGATGGCGATCCATGTTGGATCCCGAGATCAACACAAAACTTCTGATTGGTTTAGACGTTGTGAGGTTTATGGGACACTAACACACAAACTATCAGACAGACAAATATACATACTTACAAATAAGAAACCTCACCGTACCTACTTCATGAAACACAGCGTATGAGGATGTAAATCTCTTTTTTGATAAAATTATTAATTGAATATATATATATATATAAGTAAAGTGAAGTTTGTACGCGTCTGCAACCAATGGAAAATTTCCAACCAGGTTATATCTATAGATTGGTTTGAAATACTGGATTTGATATAGTATCGTAATACCCTTCTATAAAGAAAAAAATACTTTCTAATACGCTACAATGCATGGGCTGAGAATTTCACCATTTATTCTTCTCATGAAAAAGAAGTCTTGGATCATGCTAGAAAATTATACTTATCCCAAAAAGAAGAACCATGGGTCAACAAGAATGATTTGTTTTTTGATGTTCCAATGGGATGTTTTAATGGAGCAGAGGCGATGTGACCTGGTTGGACTATATCTGCTAAGCAAACTGGAGAATCTAATTGATCACACTCATGTTGGACTCTACAGGGATGATTGGTTGGCAGTTGTAAATCTGTCTGGAGTACAGATCAGGAAGGCTCAGGAAGCAGATGTTCAAATTATTCAAGTCTCTGGATCTTTTAGTAACCATTGATGTCAACATTACTGCTACAGATTTTCTGGACTTATACTTAGACCTTAGAGAAAACGTCTTGTAAACCCTAGAGGAAGGAAAATATCTCATTACTATACATTTATTCTGATTCCAACCACTCACAGTTACCAGATATGATTTCTAAACGCATTTCAGACATTTCTTGCTCCACGTAAGTCTTTGAGAAAGAAGTTACAGTATACAATGAGGCTTAACTTAAAGCTGGATACAGATCTAAGACAGAGAGTACAACAAGAAGAAGAACAGATCTAGAAATATTTGGTTCAAGGAGTCATACATTGCCCCTTGGAAGGGAGATGCTTAATAAAGTCTTGTGAACCATACCCCCTAATGTAACCCTGTTGTAAAGGTCGTCTCCGATAGACTGTACCTCCGTTGAACCCTCCGTCCACCCGCCAAACCAAACATTGCCAAGGATTTTGCATAAATATAAACAATAACCTCATGGAGCTAATAAAACTTAGAGTGCATTAAAAGAACTCATTTAAACATAATTTTCAGTGAATTATTCACAAATAAACAGTGAAATTACTTTAACCAGATAAATATTCATTTCAGAAGAATTGAATTGCTTTAGACTTCAGTTCAAACAACTTTTCGGCCTAACACAGTTTTCTAGATTGTAAGTTCCATATACCTAATTCACAACAGTATTTTTTTAAACCTTTTTTTTTATTTTATCAGTTCACAACAGTGCCTTTAAACACTTTATTCATCGATTCACAACAGCATTAAAATATGATCCCAAATCCTGCTAAACCTACTAAACCTAAAATCTCTAATCCTGCTAAACCTACAAACCTTCAACTGTTTAATCTTTATTAACAATTATTATTTATATGCATGTACGCCAATAACAATTTGTATTTTGTAGGAAACCTCGTTACTGAAATATACTTTTCAAGAAGTTGTTCTCATCTATGTGTGTCTGGTAGAAAAGAGTGTTTTCCTTGCCAACTCGCCTTATTTCCCTCTTTCGAGTATTATTCCTTTTGTTCAGCTCACAAGTCTATTGTTTATAGTTGCAGAAGTGATCTCTGCAAATATTATTTGCATGTAATACAATTTGATTTTTAAACTGTTAAATAAACTCTCTATAATCTATTTATTCATAATCTCAACCCTTTAACTTTATCCATAATACCTTCTTATCAACAAGGTCAAGTACTGGTTTAAGTTTAGACTATATTTTGGAACAAAAGTCTCAAACTATAGTTGAGTAGAGCAGGTCCGTATATAACCTTTAAATATCTGCACAGTGAGAAACAACAACATCTGCTGGTCTAACCCCTCTACATCAACATCTGCTGACCTTAACCCCTCTACAACAACATCTGCTGGCCTTAACCCCTCTACAACAACATCTGCTGACCTTAACCTCTCTACAACAACATCTGCTGTCCTTAACCCCTCTACAACAACATCTGCTGGCCTTAACCCCTCTACAACAACATCTGCTGAAAAAGAGAAATGAGCTGTTGGGAACCTGCCCCAAAAGAAAAAAATTCTCACTCATCGATAACCTGATATTATTTTTTTTAAACTAGGCTTTAAGGGCCGGCGCTTCGCGTTCAATTATGAACATTTTCCCTCTGTACTTTGTACAATGTACATACATTGTAAAACAAAAACAAAAAAATCGCGTACTTTATAAAAAAAAGATTCAAGGATTTTCAAAATCGAATTTTGTTGGAGGCCAATTTCTGAATTTTTAATCATCCAAACATTCCCTGGGGTCACGTGATGCCCCACACAAAATTTGGGCCCGATCAGTTCAGCGGTTTAGGCTTTTATTGGATACAAACAGACAGATAGATAAAGAGACAGTAAACTAGGCTTTTAGGGCACTTCGCTCCTATCTTCTTTTCAATTGTGAACATTTTCATTTTCTCTTTGTATACATTGTAAAACAAAAACAAAAAAAAGTTCGCGGATTTTATAAAAAAAATTTCGTGGATTTTCAAAATTTAATGAAAATAGAATTTTGTTGGAGGCAAAGTTTTGAAATTTTGATTATCCATAAACCTTCCCTGGGGTCATGTGAGGTCCCACACAAAGTGCAATCCAGGAACCTAATTTAAAAAGTCTGCAAGTTTAAATTATTTTCAGTCAGAATTAATCTACTGATAATTGCGGCAAGGCATGAAACATCATGTTTAGTAAGATCCTATTTATTAAAATGTTTTAATTTGATTCTTAAAATATATCTATTTATATCTATATATATTGTTTTATAGGTTTGACTATCAGTCCTGACTGCGACCCCAGCACCACAAGGGAGTATGATGATGAAATGTACAGTTTCATTTTTAAACAAATAGAGAATATATATAGCTGCAACGTTTTTCAAGATAGCTTAAGTAAGTTTATATCTAATTTGATTTTTTTACACCCAGTATTAAAATAAAAATATTATTTATTGAGATCTAAGAAAACAAAGAAATTTGATTTTTCCCCCAGGTCCTTTGAGAAATTGCACTCCAGGAGAACTAGTAACATTCTCTGAGACAGGACCGTCCAATTCTGATGTTGTAACCCAGGATCCAAATCTTCTCCTACCCTGCACCTCAACCATCTACTATTTTAGGCTAATATAACATTCTTCAATATGTTTTTAAGTTGTAGTTTTTTAACAATCAAAATGTGTTTTAAAAAACTTTCAAATTCTCTTGCTGGCTCTAGACAAATAAAATTGGGAAAATACAGATTATGTTGAATTCCTGATAAGGGAATGTAATGATACTATGGCTTTTACAGCGCGAAGCCCAATATATTAAATCTTTATATAATAAAACAAGACATTCGTATATATGTTGCCTATAGCCGGTCAAACGGCAGGACCGATTGGGCTGAAATTTTTTGTGGACACTCATGGGTGGTGGGGGGTGTTATAGACTTTAAAAAAATCAAAAAATTTTTCTTTAAATTTTTTTTCCACGTGCAACGCAATGTACTCGTTGTCTAGGTTTACAATAACTTGGCCAGGGAAGCATAAAATACAAAAAAAAACTTTGAAAACATGAACTTAAGAATTATGATAGACGATAAATATTTAATTCTTTTAAAAAAGAAACATTTTGAATTAACAGACTCCATTGTTAGTATTTTTAACGACGAATATTTATAAAAAAATTATCATTTACTCCCAGAAAAATTAGAATCTAATAGATTTTAGACTGACTTAAATAAAGATATTCGTTCTTAAAGTGTGTCAAAAAAAACTGATATGTTTCGGAGCCATTTCCGGTTGGAAAGCAACTAAAATGCAAGCAATTTAATGATTATACAAAATCCTCTTCTGAAAAACCTTCCGAATTTCAAGTTTAAATTATAAAAAGTACAGTGAGAACCAGAAAACTATAGAATAGGAGGACGACAATAAAACAATAATTTATTGTATTTGATGTTGTTACAAAGCAAATACTTATAAAAACAATTTATTTAATCAATTATTAAATGAAATTGGTCTGTTTCCACTGGACAATTTCTGTGTTTATTGGAATAGTTAGTCATAAATTTAGTCTGAAAGTCGTCTTCCTATTCCACAGTTTTATAATACTGAATGTTGTTTAAAGTGGAGTTGAGAGTGGGTTTGGTGCCGAGAACACGACAACAATTCCTTCATTCAGCATAGTTTTCCCTCGGCATATTAATAGGTTAGTTTAATCGGGGATATATGGTTCATCGGGACTATAAGGTTCATCTGGTTCATCGGGACTATAGCTATAGTTTAATTGGACTATAGGGTTAATCGGGACTATTCTTCCTTCATTCAGCATAGTTTTCCCTCGGCATATTAACAGGTTAATTTAATCGGGGATGTAGGATTCATCGGGACTATTGGGTTCTTCGGGACCATAGGATTAATTGGGACTATAGGGTTCATCGGGACGAACATGTTTATCGGGACCAAATGGTTCATCGGGATCACAGGGTTGAATGGCACCAACTTCTACATTCAGTATAGTTTTCCTTGGCATATTTGAAGGTAATTTTAATTAGGGATATAGGGTTCATCGGGACTGTAAGGTTCATCGGGATAATAGGGTTCATCGAGACTATAGGGTTCATTGGGATTTAGGATTCATCGGGATTATAGGGTTCGTTGGGACAATAGGATTAATCGGGGCTATAGGGTTTCTTATAGGGTTCAAAGGAACTATAGTATTAATCGAGGCTGTATGCAGTTTATAGAGGAATTAGGGTTAATCTGGACTACAGAGTTCAATGGGGCTAAAGAGCTGACTAGTTAATGTTCAACTCTTTTAAAATCCAAACTTTTTTTCAGTTGCAAAAGATCCAATTAAGCTGACCCTCTTTTTTATCTTCCGATAACTTTTAATCCCAAACGTTAAAACTAATCCAATAATAATACCGACACTGGGATATATTTTTAGTTTAGTTATTTATTTAATTGCAGTCAAACTGAAGAGGTCAAAATCTTGTTCCTGGATTTTCTGGTTAACGTAGGTAAGAACTAACCACTTACCTTGAATCTTAATTTTCCAAATTTTCATTTTTTGTTGTATTATCAATTAAGAATAAGAAAGACTCAATTCTTAGTGAAATAGATTAGTAATATATACAAGAATTTGTAAAAATAAAACAAAATACACTAACGGTTGAATTTTGTCTTATGCCTTGAATAATGTATTTTAATTGTATAAATTTCATCAAAAAATAAACAAGTTTATATATGTCTCATCTTTGTGGGTAACCCTGTATTTTGATATAGGTGGATTCCTGGGTCTATTTGTTGGAAAGTGTGTGTTAGATCTAGGATTCATCATTTCTAACTTGGCTAAATGGATCTTGCAGAAGAAATAAACAGCACAAAAGCAAACAAAAATGTTGACCTCATTCAAAACATGTTACATTTACAATATTGAAAGTATAGAATAAATTCTGGACATTTTTACTTTATTTCAAAGATTTATAAGTTATGCTCTATGATAGAGGACAAAATGTTGTTGTTCTACTTTAGCTAAAATTTAGATTTCTTTGTAAAATTTATTCTCGTCTTCATTTTGCTCTAATTTGCCCGTCCTACGAGGAAAAGGTTTGCAAAGGTGCAATATTAATATTGATAAAGAAATTGTATTTATAAAGAGTGTGTTCTCCAGTGCCAGTCGGAGTCTGGATCTTCTGGTTCTCTTATCTCCGTCCTTCTCTTAATCTTGTTCTCCAATGCTACTCGGAGTCTGGATTCTCGACTGGTTCTTTATCTGTGTCCTTCTCCTTCTCTTCATCTTCATCTTCATCTTCATCTTCCTTCTCTCCAGTCTGTTGTCCAGCTAGGTCTTCTTCTTCTTCTACTTCATCTAGATCCTGTTCTTCATGTTCTCCTTGTTCTGATTGCACTTTCTTGTCGTTATCAAACGAATCGTCCCTGAATCAAAATGAATGATATAATAATATTCAAAGATTTCCAGAACTGCGTTTTATACAAAATAAAATATTAAAAGATAATTTTACTCATAGAAATATAATTATATGAATATACGAAATCTATATATCTAATGAGAACATTTAGAATTATAATCTGCACATCGTTTTGTTATAACCCAACCTTCTGTTTAAAAGTTCATCTTTCATATACTTAAGTGCAAAAAGTTTGGCAGTTGAGGTCCAGGGTTTAGGTTTAGTTTTCTCCGGATATTCGGGTTCATCCCTCTCCTCCTTCAGGAACACACTAAAGCTTTAAATTTTTTTAAAAATTTTAAAAAGAAAAGAAATTTTAACAATGAAAAATCATCGTCATTCAGATAAAGTTTTTTTTTAGTATTGAATTGTAAATCAATGAAGGCATTTTCTAATTTAAGAGTAAATCAAAGTAACATGGACAATCCCTTTAAAACATGATAAAGTTTGACCTGTCAGAATGGTTTGAGGAACACTCAAGACTCTGCTCAGAGTTTACATCTGTTCTCTCGGAGTTCTGTTGCGAAGTAGGTTTTGGTTTAGTTTTCCTTCTCCGTCCTGCTCCTGCAGGCTTTACTCTGCTATTGGATATTTCTGGTTTTCCAGTTCTCTCAACAGCACTGGGAACATACTTCTTCTCCGGATCAGGTTCAGGGACAGATTTCTTCTTTCGTGGCATTGGAGACCGTTTATTTCTCCTGGTTCTTACTTGGACAGGTGGAGCAGGTTCAAGTTCAATTATGGGTTCACGGCTTGTCTCATCAGGCATATAGGACAAAACACCCCGATCTGATGGCAGTCTTGACTGAGATAAAATATATAGCTAATATAAACCAAGATTAAATAAACTGTAGACATATTTGAAAGTAACTAAAAAAGGTCGGTAAAATTCAAAATATTATATATAAAATTGTTAAACCATGTAGGACTATAGAATATTAGGGATCTGTGTTGATTTCACACTTTATGATAACAGCGAATACTCAAGTTTTTCGTTAATGTAAACACTGTTTTAAAGACACACGGAGTTCTCCGAAATTTATGGTCAGTCCAAAAAAGTTCAAAAGTATCGTTGTAAACAGGACTTTCTGCTGTTTTCTCTTTGCATGTAGGGTCGCTAAAAATAGCACTACAGACCCTTTAGTTAGTTTTTTAAAGAATAATACTGAAAAGTATTTAGGGAACATGTTTGATATATCAATATACAATTAGAAAACTTATGCATAACATTGAATAAAAAATTAAATGCTTAAATATTTTCCCTTGGATCGTATATCCGATGATCTACTTCTAGATTTCTCCGTACTTCTTACTTCGTCTCTTCCCGTCTTACTACTATGTCGATCTACATGACACAAATACGCCTGAAACAGTAGACAATTTTTTCTACAGTTTGCCTAGCTTCAAATACCTCTAATTACCTGAATTATTCTAGGTACAAGCTTATGGCATCCTAATAATTTCAGTGATACTCTATTTTTATTGGTAATTGTTTATAAGTTTCGGGTATGTACTCAGTGATAATATATTCTTACCTAATCAGCTCTTGGTATTTATCTATAAAATTTGGATTTTTAATCATTGATAATCTATTGTTACCTAATAAGTTTTTGTGTAGTTATCTATAAGTTTCGGGTATATAATCGGTGATAATCTATTGGTACCCAATCAGCTTTTGGTAGTTATCTATAAGTATATTATCAGTGATAGTCTATTGTTACCCAATCAGCTTTTGGTTTATTTAGACATCATCTCTAAGAACTTTATTAATCCCGAATAACTTATGTCACCGTTTGATAACTATACATGATAATTCATTTCTGAAGAAGATCAAGAATAACCTTCAGATCATGCAAACTGCGTAATTTTCAAAGTTTTAATTAGTCCTTGGAATTTCATCCTTTGTCGGTAGCTCTGCACCTGAATACCCTGTAAACTGTAATCTCGAGGCACGTGATTTTCTCTAAGTACCTGATCTTTCCTAGGTACCTGATCTTCTCTAGGTATCTGATATTCTCTAGGTACCAGATTATCTTTAGGTACTTTGTCTTCTCTAGATATCTTATCCTCTATAGGTACCTTATCTTCTCTAGGTAACTGATTTTCTCTATGTACCTGATTTTCTCTAAGTATCTGATTTTCTCTAGGTAACTGATTTTCTCTATGTACCTAATTTTCTCTAAGTTTCTGATCTTGTCTAGGTACCTAATTTTCCCAAGGTATCTGATTTTCTCTAGGTGCCTCATTTTCTCTAGGTACCTGATCTTCCCTAGGTATCTAGGATTATCTTTGGGTACCTGATCTTCTCTAGGTTCCTGATCTTCTCTGGGTACCTGATTTTCTCTATGTTCTTGATTTCATATAGGTAACTGATCTTTTCGAGGTACCTGATTTTCTCTGTATACCCGATCTTCTCTAGGTTCCTAAGTTTCTCTATTGTACCTGAGTTGCTCTTCTTCTTGCTCCGTCCTCTTCCATATTATTGATAAGGTTTAATGCAGTCGACCTGAAATGAAAACATTTTTCAATAATTTCCGATTATATCTAAACCTTTATAGCATGAAAGTATGTTCTTGTGAACACACTTTTTATTCAATAATTATTACAATAAAAACCTAAAGTTTTTAAACACCTGTTACTGTCTCCACTCTCAGTCTCTAGAGCCAGGAACAAATCTTCTTCCTTAATATATCCTCCTCCATCCTTCCCCTTGCTTTGCCACCTTTCCTTCTCCTTGTTCCTCTCTTTGCTCGGTTTTCTTATACCGGACCTTGAACCGTTCTGTGGTCTAGACTCTTCTCCATGTCCGCTCTCAACCACATCCTCTCCGCCCCGAGCAGAAAGCAGGGCTCGCACTTTTCCAATCTGTAAAAGTAGCACTTTTCAATTATGAATTAATTTCCAGCCTAAAGATAGAACTTTACTAAATATACTGATCTATATTAGGCGGCTAAAACTCAATTTTTAAAGCAACAAATTATTTTTTTTAGTTATGGAAGACGTTTAGCGTAGTAAACGTATAAACTAGGTTCTCCAGTATAGAGATATATTGTATCTCATCCGGAGTATGTAAACTAGGTTCTCCAGTATAGAGATATATTGTATCTCATCCGGAGTATGTAAACTAGGTTCTCCAGTATATATATATTGTACCTGATCGGGAGTATATAAACTAGATTCTCCAGTATAGAAATATATTGTACATGATCTGGAGTATATAAACTAGGTTCTGCAGTATAGATATATTGTACATGATCCGTAGTATATAAACTAGGTTCTCCAGTATAGATATATTGTACCTGATCCGGAGTATATAAACTAGGTTCTCTACAATAGAAATATATTGTACATGATCCGGAGTATATAAACTAGGTTCTCCAGTATATATATATATAAAGATTTATTCACACACAAAGATATAAATACATATATAAATGGTGTAGTTTAAATTTGTTTAAATAAATTTTTTTTGAAAATACAGGTTTCCAAAAGAAAAGAGAGAAAATATGCAAAATTATGCACGAATAGAAAAAATAGATTTTTACTCACTACATAACATATTTATTATTTCAGTTATTACGTAATCATCGAATCCTTCAACATATAAATTATTCATTCTTGTATTTAAAAGTTCTTGTAAAACCGGAACTTTCCATTCATGTTCCAATGGGACATCAAAATATTTCATTTGTTTCTTAACTAACATTTTTCTAAGATCCGAAGGATTTACAGAACAATCATTTGCAATAGAAAATAAATTTCTGCCAAGAACTGTGTTGAGGTCATTTTTACATAAATTAGAAAGAAATCTAATGCAAAGCTTAGAACTTGCTTCAATAGTCTCATAGAAAGACACACATCTGCTAGCTAACATAGTTTTTACATGTAAACATTGAAATACTTTCAATCAAGTTCCTATGCGTATCTCTAGGTACATTAAAAAGAATTCTAAAAGCAGTATTCCATGCTGTATACAATTTTGAAACACATTGGGAATTCAAGTCCCAATTACTAGTTCCATAAAAACTACAACAGTAAATATTATACAGTTTCAAAATAACATCAGGACTGTTAAAATAAAATTCTTGGTTAAGGGAATGAATTTTTAAAATGAAAATAGCTCGTTTTTTATTGCAATCTATTTATTGCATTATATATCTATATACATGATCTAGAGTAAATAAACTAGGTTCTCTATAATAGAGATATATTGTACCTGATTCGGAGTATATAAACTAGGTTTTCCAGTATAGAAATGTATTGTACATGATCTAGAGTAAATAAACTAGGTTCTCTATAATAGAGATATATTGTACCTGAACCGGAGTATATAAACTAGATTCTCTATAATAGAGATATATTTTACCTGATCCGGAGTATATAAACTAGGTTCTCCTTTCTCTTGACACGGAATCACTTCAGCTAAAGACAAATTAAACAAAAGCTAAAGATATTACTCTGCCAAAAGATATTATCAAAATTATTTGAAGAACTATTTAAATAATTTTTCTGTGCAGCATAATTCACGAAATATTTCCAGTGACCTCCATTTATTTACAAAGTGGTTGTCCAATCCACAACAGTATCCTCAAAAGCTCTGTATGATCAAGAATCGTGGTTTCACTCTGAACGTGATTTCTTTTACAGAACAATGGAGGATGTTAGGTACTTTCCCAAGAGTATTTTCATTAATTGCAGCTTCCCAAGTCTGTAGCCACAGCGCTCGCCCACCCTGGCCCATCCTAGCAAGAGCTCTCGGCCCTCTTTGCAGCCCGAGGCGTCTTCGAAGGCCAAAATTAATCTTTAATATACGTTTGGGAAATTACTTGGGAAGTCGCTCTTGGGAAAAGGCCTTTGGGAAAGTACCTAACACCCAATGGAGTATTTTGTAAGAAATAAATTCTTTTTATTTCAGAAAAACGACGATATTTTCCACATGGATTCGATAAAGATTAGAAGGGTACGTTGTGAATCGGGCACGCCCCACGTACCTTAAACGGAGGATCACTTAAAATCTTAACGAAAGTCCTTTTAATCCTTTTTTCTCGAGGCATAATCAGTTCTAGAGAATAATAAGCTGGACCTGTAACTGCCCAGTGATCTGATATTCTCTCTCCAATCCTTGCAGCGCTGAACTCTGTTATCTTTATATTCTCTTTGGTGAACAGGAAACTAGATCTGAGTTCCTTCCTTTCTCCGGGTATAGGTCGGTTAGAGTAGAGAACCGGGAGAAAATCAGGATACCTCCAGAACTGTATGATCTTTACAGTAAACACACTTTATATTATTTTTATACAATTAACAGTCGTTAAATAAAAGGATTAGAAATTGTTGAAAAGTGTTAATTATTGTTTCTTATAAATAATTAATAATTTTTCTAAAAAATAAAAACCAATTTTAATAAATACAAAGAGTTTTGGACAAGTTTGCAACTGTAGAAATTTCAAAATCGACATAATCACTTGGTGTATAGCTGACAATAGAAATATTTCTAATAAAATTTGAAACCTTGATATCAATATTGAACAGTCCTCCAATCAATATTCTTAGTTTCAAATTGTTCAAAGTTCTGAAGGCTGTGAAGAATCTAGAAAGAAAATTACATTTTATTGACTTTCACATTTCAAAAATGTAAATATGTGAATCTTAAGTCGACAGAATATAACAATATAACAAAACAATTTTTTCCTAACCAATGAATTGAGTCAAAAACTCTCATTTTCTTATCCCTATATCTTTACATCCCAATGGCGTAGACCTTAGATTTTTTTCAAATTACGAATTATTTAAGATTAAAAGATCTAAGTTTGCAATATCTACGGTCTACGCCATTGGGTTATAAAGATATAGGGCTGGGAAAATCGAAGCTAGTGGAAGGGCCTCAATTCCTTTATGGAACCGTCCAAGACAGCGCTAGAATGCATCTGGCTGAAGTGCCTGATGCGGATTAGTTTTAGAATGATTGATTAGATCTCTCTATCAAGTGGGGTCGGATGATCCAATAAATTGAACTAACCTGAGAGCAGTTTCAAAAACACATAATCTATCACGAGCTGTGTTCCGGTAGGTTAAACCAGACCAGGAGACAAGGCTTAAACTAGCCTAGACACAGGTATCAATCTTTATCCGTCAATAAGAGAACTAACCCGCTCACCTAGGAGCGGAAGCTAACAGAATTGACTCAGGATTGGCTCAAGAGTCAAGATGACCTATTGCAGAAGAGGACAACAAGTTTTACGAGTAATGAAGTCAGTCAAACTCAAGTATTGATTAATGAAGTGAATCAAACTCAATTATTGAGTAATGAACTCAGTCAAACTCAAGTGTTGAGAAATAAAAAATTTATAATCAAACTAGCAACTATTAATTTGACGGAAAAGTTTGGTATGATAAGATTTGATTCCTCAGTACTGTTCTGAGCCCAGAGATGAACCATGGTTGATGAAGAGCAGAGGGTTTGTGGAAACATTGTTGATATCTTGCTCAGATCCGAACTTGTACCAGTAAACTCATCCTTCTGGAATATTCAAACAAGTAATGAAACAGGGATTGTCAAAGTCAACAAAGGTATTGAGCCAATCTTTGAGCCAGATTGCGTAAACTTTTGATATTTCTAATTTAGATTATTTAATCTAACAGAATTGACAGTTGGAAATATCCAAGGCTTCCGACATTGTGTTGCAAAGATAAAGGGAGCTTTTAGGCGTAGCAAAGACTCAATTCCTTCTAAATGAATTATTTAAATTTCAGAATTAGAGAAGTTGTTCTAACCTTCCACGCTATGCAGGTGTTTGGTATATTTTCAACATCTGGTGAAGTGGTGAATTTTCTAAAAATATAGTTTAAAATCGTTAATGGTTTGCCCCAAGGTGGAAATGGAGAAATCCAACGAAGTTCTTTAAAATTTATTAATCCAGGTTTATCGGTCTGGTCCGTCTTTGAACCCTTACAGCTTCTTCGGTTTTATTTACATACAGGAACTAAAACAGATTGTTAATATACTGTGTATGGGAATGAGATTCTTAATGAATGGCAAAAAAATCATAAATCACCCCCGCTCCGACCTCCCCCCCCCACCCTCCTCCTCAACTTAATTTAATGAATGATAAAGACTGATTTCCATTTTTCAGTTCAATACGTACCTTTGAAATTTTCCTTCAAACTTCTTGAATATAAGATAATCCAAACTATCTTCTGTTATACAACATTGGATAGTCAGCACTGATGCTTTAGCAGTCTTTACCTTTAAAATATATAGGATATATTTGTTGTACGAGCTGTACAATACAGAAGAAATTGAACATAATGTGTGTATATTCTCTCTCCCCCCGCTCCTTACTGTACTGCAGGGACCCTGGAGTACAATAAGGAGCACTTTTATAAGTTTTTTAGCGATAGTAAATACAGGTAAATTCAAAAACCATTACCCTCTAAAGAGAAACATTCAAATTTATATTTATTTTATTATTTAGAATCACTGATAGAGGTTAGAGTGGGCGTTCCTCTCTTCCCCTCCTCCCCTTCATACTTCGACTCTCTGCGTATACTGAGAGCCTGGAGTATAGAAGCAAGCCAGAGATGTCGACCTGGCAAACCTCCTTGGAAAGGTCGTAATAATTTATCTCTGTCATTTCATATTGAAATAAATGATTTGTACAACTTTATTTCACAGTCGTATTTTCTATCAGTGAATGCACTGAATAATTCTGGTTACAAAAAATATAAAGGTTTTTACGTATAGAGAAGATAATCCTCTTTAAACAAAATCTGGTCTATACGATAATATTTATACCTCGTCTATAAAATTTATGAAAAAAAATGAAAAGAAAAATTTAAGAATTTTGAGGGAAAAAAAACAAATCTAAAACAATGGTGTTTTGAAAAGTATGTTTTAAGTCCCTTGAGGGTTTGAGCTCCAATCTAAGGTATATGTATACAAGGATTAGGAAACTCGTTTCCTGAAATGAATGATATGGCAGTCTAGAACAGACCTAGAGCTTGAGCTTAAAAACTTAATAGAATTTGTCATATTTTTACATTTAAGAAATGTTCAGGTTTTTTGTCCAGCCTTGTTTCAATTTGTTTTTCCGAAATTTGTACGGACATCAGTTTTTTTAAGATCACAAAGAAAATTAAGTGTATCTCGAAAAAATCGACCGTGCACTTAACAAAGGAATTGAGTATTTGCCACAACCTCAACCACATTTTTCTAATTTCTATATCTCTGCAACCAGTGGGTTTAACCCTTTGATATTTCAAACTTAGATTATTTGATCAAACAGAATTAATAGTTTGAACTATCTAAGGTCTATGACATTGGGTTGCCAAGATATAGGGATAAAAATATTTGAGTTTGTGGCAAAAACTCAGTTCCTTTGGGAGAAAATTTGTTTTCTTTGTTGTCGTACAGTGTATATTTACTGTTTAGAGTATGTACACTGTAAATGAGTTTACCTATCAACCTGGGTTAATAGCTTAGGTTAGTTACATACTAACCTGAGCTGCCACATTGACTGTACAGTGTACACTGTACATATGTATGCATACTAACCTAAGATGCTATACTGGCTGTACAGTGTACATTTTACATGTGTGTAACTGTGTACGTACTTACTAACCTGAGCTGCCACATTGACTGTGCAGTGTACACTGTACATATGTATGCATGCATACTAACCTAAGCTTCTACACTGGCTGTACAGTGTACATTGTACATGTGTGTAACTGTGTACATACTAACCTGAGCTGCTACACTTGCGGCTACAGATAAACTCTCCTCTAGCTGTGAACTTACCTAGAAGAAGAAAAATAAAAAAAATGGGAAAATAACATTGAGCTGAAAGCTTAAATCTTGAATTATAACTATTCTGTACCTTTAAACAAGTTAAATCAAGGTTCAAAACGATGGTTTTCTCCATTTTTTACACTTCTGCAAAAATACATGTTTTTAGTTTTTATTTTTCTGTCGTCCTTAACTTTTTTTTTCCTAGGAAAGGTTTAGCAATCCTAATAAAATTGTAAAGTTAGAAGAATATTCTAGACAGAACTCTTAATATTAATATGTTTAAGTTGACTGCAGTATTATTGATAAATGTTGATAAATATCTCAGGTTGATATAATTACTGAGACTCATGATTAATCCTTAGGGAGTCCTAAAAAACTGTGTGACTGTGCAAAACTAATTGGGCTCTCTAATTTTAGGCCCAAATTAACGTGTTTGCATTTAATTTGTAATCGAGTTAGCTTTTTAGATATCTAGTTTTATTTTTTAACTTAATTTCAATACTGATAAATATATATATAGTCAGTAAACATCTGTAAACAACAGATAGTTTTTTTTCCTTTCCCTACAAAGTATTTGTAGACACAAAACTACGGACGGATGGTTTGATGGCTCCTCTACTCTACAAACACATAGTTGCAAATGAATCAATTTATTTCAAACCTGCAAAATACAGTTTTAGTAAAAATAAAATGTTGGTATTAAATTGTTTTAAATGTTTAATTGGGAAACTTCCTAGTTGAGTGTGTCAGGGGTAATAAAGGAGTGATTTGAGATTGTAGGATGTGATTGGATCAGTCTAAACATTTGGATGTTACTTCTGAAAATAAAAACCCGGTTGTTTGAGTAAAATTGCTATGGATTGCAGAATTATTCACGGATTTTAAGATTTAAGTATTCACCAGTTAAAACGTTTTACTATTCAATGTTTTCCTTTGTCAGGATAATGCCGGAGTATATTCTTTGGTTTGGACTGGTCCAAAATAAGGGAAAGGGTAGTAAAGACAACATTATGCAGGATAGAAGTGGGAGGAAGATTTATATGCAACAACATTATTTAGAAGCTATTTTGTATTTGCAATCAAAACAAAAAAATGCTTTTCAATATTTCCTTTTGTTAAACCATTAATAAATGTATTACTGCACATTTTTTTATCAAAAAGGATGTATGTTAAAGCAGCTCAAGCATGAAAATGTCCTTCTTAAAATGTCCTAAATATGTCGGAAAAATTACCCTGCAGCAAGGTGGCCTAAAAGTACAGACAGCTTCTCCTAAAACTTGCAACATTTTATCTGTAATTTCGATTTGCCTCCTTATTGTTATTTTTTTGCTGTAAGACAAATAAGGGAAAAAGATGAGTTATTCTCAAAAAAATAATTAACATATAAAGAAGAATCCTGTTAGGTTGTGTACCATGGACTATGATCTTGGTTATTTTTCTCTAGCTGCTGCGAGGAAAAGATAGCTGTAGACGAAGCTGTATTCTGAAGCACTGTCCAAGATGAACTTACAAGAATCAAGAATTCTTTTGTTGAAAATTTCCACTCCTTGCCTAACCTTTTTTATCCCATTTGTCATTATTAATGCAAAATTTTGACAATGGTTCCACAAAATTTTTAAATCTCGCTTACCAGTGACTTTTATTTTTCCACCCTGTAAGAAAATATTTAAGAGATATGAACACTGGATGAAAAAGCTGCGTCATCAATCCACATTCCGCAAGTTAACTTGTCAAGGAAATTTGACACCTCTGGATGAATCCGTTATATATAGGGAGAAAAAAAGCAAAACTATGTGTCAAAATGAATTTTTCCCTTGTCTACAAGGAATTAAAATGCGTAAATCTAAAAGAAAGGTACAGAAAACAGATGTATGATCAGCTAAAAAGAAGATACAACAGTCAGAGAAAAAATTCACTGCTCTTTTTAAAATTTTGTTAAAAAATTTAAATTAAAAAATATATCAGTTAAAAATTTAAAAATGTGCTGGCCACTCTTTTGGGAAAAAGAAGGAGAAGTGCCACTGAGCTGGGCTAGCTACACTCGCTACGCCATAAGAATGTAAAAAATACCAAAAATACGTTATGTAATGTCGTCTTCCACATTAAGAAATTTTACTGAATATACTGTTAAATATAGGGAGGCTAGGTATCCTAGGTAGAATATAAAGAAGATGTAAGAGTAGAATATAGGGTAGATGTAAGAGTAGGATTTACAGAAGATATAAGAGTAGGATATAGTGGAGATGTAAGGGTAGGATATAAAGGATATGTAAGAGTAGGATATAGAGGAGATGTAAGAGTAGGATGAGGAGATGTAAGAGCAGGATATAAAGGAGATGTACCAGGATATATAGAAGATGTAAGAGTAGGATATAGAGGAGATGTAAGAGCAGGATATAGAGGAGATGTAAGAGTAGGTTATAGAGGAGATGTAAGAGTAGGATATATAGAAGATGTAAGAGTAGGATATAGAGGAGATGTAAGAGCAGGACATAGAGGAGATGTAAGAGTAGGATATAGAGGAGATGTAAGAGTAGGATATATAGAGAAGATGTAAGAAAAGGATATGGAGGAGATGTAAGAGTAGGATATATAGAGAAGATGTAAAATGTAGTTGAGGATAGGATAAAGGGTAAAAAGGTAGTAAATAGAATATTTTTAATCGAATAATCGAAATCGTATTTGGAGTCGCGTCGTAAATATCAATAATCAATAAAGACAACTTTCAATTTCAATTTTGATTTCTACCAATCTTTTTAAACAGAACAGACACATAAACATGTAAACAAAGAGATGTTTTTAAATAATAGCATCTTTTTGTGTACTTGTAAACTTGTATTGTATTGTGAAAAATTATTTCTCGATATCAAATCATTATTTAAAAAAGGTCGTCTTCATTGTATTGATATAAAAATCACAGACCATTGTAGTTATACTACAGTGCCAGAGTTATCAGAATGTAAAAACGGCAATATCTTCCATATGAATGGTACTATTCAGGGAATCGGACCAAGCCATCTTTGAATAAAGGATCATTTGAAATTACGGTTTACTCAAGCATCATGCAATAACATTTTCGTTGTATTCATGGATTTCTTTCAAAACATATTTTAAACCCTGCTATTGTAATTTGAATAATTTGGGAGCTCTCAAGACTGTAATTGATACTCAATTATGGTTCGTTTAAGCTTTGAACTATTTTTTAGAGTTTAGACTAATTTAAAAAATACTAAACCAGTTTGTAAGAAAACTAAAAAAATCGTGTCTAAGTTGATAAAGTTGTGATTAAGGAATTTAATCTCAAGACTAAACTTATAATTCGCGGCTTCTGAACAGACAGTAACAATGTATAAGATTTATGTCATGGATTAGTTTAGCCCTTCATATTCATGATTAATTGAGATGTTTTTTATTAATATGTAGTTGATTTAATATAAAAAATGTAATGAAATAAGTTGATTTGATATAATTCATTCCTAAATAGAGCGGAAAAATATGCAAAATAAATTTATTGATGTATATGTATTCTAACTTAATAAAGTTTAACACAATATAATAAAACTGCCATTGGCAAGTCAACATATCTTTAATTTTCTTTTTGAAGTTATTATTTAGTTATAATCCCAAAGGGACTATATAGACGCAACCCTCCAATATAAGAGGATAGTTTCCGATTCACAACGGTACCTATTAAATCTCTATATATATACAACAATTTCAGGAAAAAGTTAAAGTTTTAAATTCTCACGATTTCCTCCGTTTTCTCTGCAGCAGAATTCCAAAAACAAACAAAAAAGGCAATAAACAGAATTTTGGATTTCATGCTCAAAGTCCTCATTCTGATTCAGGCACCATTTTATCCAGCTTTGACCTAAAGGACCTTGAATGAAAAAATTACAAATTTGATTTATTTAAGAAATAAACAACACAATTCGTATCCTTTATTGTCTTGTAATTAATGATCGTATATATTAAACCTTATGGTGGTTAGTGGTGGTTGGATATGTTGTAATAGTTTGATAATGTGGACACGGGAGCGCGAACTTGAATTTAGGCCAGATGTCGGTATGACATAACGCATAAACATTATACGTATATAATGGTTTTCAGGTTTTAAGAATTAATCAAGCCTGAGGCCGAATTTAAAGAATTTGAGTCGCGGCTTAAATCCGCCAAAACCCGGTTTAAATTTGATACAATTTTAAGTGGAACCAAGCATATTTAAACCGCGGCTCAAATTCTGTAGATTCGGCCTCAGGTAGTGTCAAAAGATTTAAATATGGGCATTTGGAAAAAAAGTAAAATTAATTATGACGAATTGATGATATGATCAAGGGGTCATGCCCGACATTTCTTCAAAATTGATGAAATTTTTCTCTAAAATCGGCTTAGGGTCTGCCCAAAACTTTTGCAAAATGATCTGAGCTGAAAACTCTAGAATGGTGGATATCGAGATTAATGCTTGATCTTCTCTTTTTCTTAATCTCCAGATTAAATAATGCTTGTTCTCCTCTTTTTATATATCTCCAGATTAATTAACCGATCGGAGGCCGAATTTAAAGAATTTGAGCCGCGGCTTAAATATGATTGGTTCCACTTAAAATTGTATCAAATGTTTCAAGATTTAAGCCGGCGCATAATTTAAACCAGGTTTTGGTGGATTTAAGCCGCGACTCAAATTCTTTAAATTCGGCCTTGGGATTCAGGATATCCCGTTCTAAAGTTTGCAGCTCAGGGTTTATCTTGATAATCCCTTAAAATCCATTTACTATTCCAAAAATGAATCAGGACTATATGCCCGAAAATGACCTGAGTCCGAATTTAATGAATGTGAGCCGCGTCTCAAATCTGCCAAAACCAGTTTTAATTGAGCTCCGGCTTATATCTTGAAACATTGAATAAAATTTTCAGTTGACACACCATATTTGAGCCACGTCTCAAATTTAAAGCGCGGCTCAAACTCTTTGAATTTGCCGCTGGGTTTATATTTGTTAAAACTGAACCGAAATTGATCTGGTATTCTTACAAAGTCTAAAATATCTTATGAAAAGACAAAAAGGAATTTTTGTGGAGGTGAAGTTAAACATATTCATTTTTAAAGAGGTGTCAAATTGTCAATTCTAATTTTTTTTTGGTTAGTTTATGTTTAGATCTGTTGATGAAGTCGTGAAGTTTTAAAAACTACTTGATAATTTGATCAAAAACATTCGATAATTGGGTATTTTACCGTATAGGTCAGTTTCAATTAAATCATCTAGGACACTAGATCTATTGTTTAACATTGGTCGGTGTTTATATATTAATACAATGAACAGATTCACAGAAGATGAACAGCTTCTCTTTGTGTCCATGTGAATAAGTATCCAATATCCATGATGTTCGAAAGCTTGGTAGAAATAAAATTCAAATCGAAAGTCGTCTTCTTTGTATTGACATATATAAGACGACAACTGTATGTTAAAAGCTGGTGTAAATTCTAATTCTATAATTACGGAGAAAATGTGTTATATTTATAAGGTTCACAGTTGAGTAGGTTGATATCTATGAGATTTCTCCAGGTTCTGGTGAAAGTCTGTTTCTAGATCCGTGACGGATCGGATCCACACTAACAGAGTTAAATTCTTCTTCGCATACAGTTTCTCTTCAGATTTGAGAGTTAATCTCCTGGGTTCCAGTTGCATTATTATGCGATTTATATCTTGTCAACGATAAAGGACAACTAGACAAGGATAAAGGACAACTAGACTAGGATAAAGGACTACTAGATAAGGATAAAGGACTAGTAGACAAGGATAAAGGACTACTAGACAAGGATAAAGAACTACTAGATAAGGATAAAGGACTAGTAGACAAGGATAAAGGACAACTAGACAAGGATAAAGGACTACTAGATAAGGATAAAGGACTAGTAGACAAGGATAAAGGACTACTAGACAAGAATAAAGGACTACTAGACAAGGATAAAAGACAACTAGACAAGGATAAAGGACTACTAGACAAGGATAAAGGACAACTAGACAAGATTAAAGGACAACTTGACAAGGATAAAGGACTACTAGACAAGGAAAAAGGACTATTGGACAAAGATAAGGGACAACTAGACAAGGATAAAGGACTACTAGACAAGGATAAAGGACAACTAAACAAGGATAAAGGACTACTAGACAAGGATAAAGGACTACTAGACAAGGATAAAGGACAACTATACAAGGATAAAGGACAACCAGACAAGGATAATGGACTACTAGACAAGGAAAGGACTACTAGACAAGGATAAAGGACTACTA